ACGAAGACGAAGCAGGGTATGCGCTGCATCCGGCCGTCTTGGATATGGGGCTCCAGTTGAACCTAGTCGCCATGTGCCAGGGGCTCGGCGAAAAGTGCGACCTACTCTTGCTACCAACCTACATTGAGGAGATTTCGGTGGAAGCAGATACCACACGTCTGCTGCAGAACAGGGAAAACAGCCCCCAGGCTCGGGATGGCAGACTGAAGATGCGCGCCGAGGTCAGTTGGTTGCGGAAGGGTAGAAGCCTTCAAGGCACCGTCACCGCCACTGCCAACGGCCACGAAATCTCTCACGACGATGATATTCTTCCCCGGCTTTCCATGCGAAACGTCAAGTTCATGGCCAAACCGCCGCGGGCCCGGCACACTCCCCAAAACGCCCCTCTGGCGACAACGCAGCCCCATCTTGCGTCCGTCTTTGAATGGGCCCCGGACGCCGAACTCGTTGATATGGACAGGGTCGATTCAGTGGTTGAAATGGCCCGGCTGCTCGCCTTCAAGAACCCGCGCGTTCGCGTCTGCGTCTTCGCTCCCGACGGCGACGTAGCCCTGGTCTCCGCCGTCATGCGAGCCCTCGAGACCCAGGCCATGTCCAACGGTAACGTATTGGCATCCCTGACGTACGCGGCCGCCACGACGGCAGAGCTGGGTCTGGCTCAGCTTTCTCTGCAAGAGGGCGAACAATATCATGTGAAATTCGCTCCCACGTGGCTGGACATGTCTAAACTCCTCTCGGCCCAGCTGGAAAATCATAGCGGTTTTGACCTTGTTCTCGTCGATGGGCCCGCCGCCTTGACCAGGCTGTGCTCCATCTCGGCTCCTTATGAAAGTCCTTTGCCCGTTAATCCCGGGGGATGGTTCCTGGTCGACCGGTATAGTGGCGAGGCCAAGACTGAGACTGAGACCGACAGGAAGCTGGAGCAGCTCGGCTTCACACTTGTGCGCCTGCATTCTCCCTCCTCTGATCGTACAAACAAAGGATTTCACGCGGCGAGAGCTTTGCTGCCCGGTCACAGGAAACACTCCGGCTCGAGACAGCGACGTGTCGTCATCATACTCGCAACACCCGCACTCGAAGAGCTGGCCCGGTCACTCCAGAGCGCCTTGGAAGAGTCCGACTTACGCTCCGAGATTCGCGTTTGTCACTCCGGGGGCGAGCCGCTATCTTTCTATGACGATGACAACAAACAAACCGTCATCGTATCGATGCTGCACCTGGTACAGTCGCCGGCAGAGGAAGCACTCACTGCTAAGTCTTTCAAAAGCTACATTGACAGCCTCCTCGCGGCTCGGCAACCCCGCGTCTGGCTTCTCCCGCCCCTCCAGCTGGGTAGTACAGGACCGGCATCTCTGTGCCATTGGCCCGACCCAGCGTGGCTGATCGGTCTCACGCGCACAGCACGCACCGAGAACCCGGCACTAAACTTCACCACGGTCGAACTTGACAGGGTCAACACGCCCATCCGGATCGCGGCCGCCGCCGTAGCTCGCATCGTCGACAGATTAACCCAGCTCGGCCCCGAATCGGGGTCGGAGATCCTGCAGCATGACAGGCCGGACATGGACCGCGAGCTCGGCGTCACGCCGTACGGCACTGTTCTGATTCCCCGGATGGCATGGTCATCGCTCCATGACGCTGCCAGCTTTGTGGAAGCGGATACCGCGGACCACATTGGCAGTCCGGGACTTGTGTCGTTCCACGAGGACGCAAGCTATCTGCTGGTCGGTGGCCTCGGCGGGCTCGGGAGGTCCGTCTGCCGCTGGATGGCCGCACGGGGGGCACGCCACCTCGTGCTATTCTCTCGCTCTGCCGCTCAGCCCGAAGAGGCTACGCTTGCCTTGGTGGATGAGTTGGCCTTCATGGGCTGCGCCGCCGTCCGCGTAAGCGGGTGCGCAGAAGACCGCCTGGCTGTCGATCGCGCCGTCGCAGCAGCCGATCACTCTGCTCCTCGCGGGCTCGCCGGCGTCTTCCACATGCCCATGGTCCTCCGTGACCGGCCGCTAACGGACATGACCTGGGACGACTGGACCGCCGTCGTGGACCCCAAGGTGCGCGGTGCCTGGAACTTGCACAACACTTTGCGCCGCCGCCGGCGGGATAGGCTCGATTTCTTCGTCCTCTTCAGCTCAGTCAGCGGGGTTGTGGGCCAGCGCGGCCAGGCCAACTACAACGCGGCTAATGTCTTTCTCGACGCCTTCGCGTTGTACCGCCGCGGCCTCGGTCTCCCAGCTAGCGTGCTGGACCTCGGCATCGTTGGCGATGTAGGCGCGGTGGCGCGCGACAAGGCGCTGTCGGCGCAGTTCCGCAAGGCCGGCTACGTGTTCCTGGGAGAAGAGGCGGTTCTGCAGGCTGTGAGCATCGCCGTCAGCCCCTCCGCCCAGCCGCAGCTCGTTGTAGGCCTAGCGCGGGATCAGCAGGCCGACACCGCAACCCGGTCCGTCGTATGGAATCGCGACCCCCGTATGGTCAAGGGTTCGGGATTGGTATCTGAAGAAAGCGATCGACACGGCGGCGCGAGTGCCGCCGATGCCATCAAGAGAGAGACGCAGGACATCATCTCCTGGGCAAAGGAGTCCCCTATTGGGCTCGTGACCGACACCCGACGGGAGTCACTGGCATTCTGTCTCGGCAGGGCCGTCCACCAAGTGCTAGTGACGCCGCTGAAGCAGTTGTCGCTGACAAGGAACATCAACTCGCTGGGCCTGGACTCCTTCGCCGCCGTCGAGCTGACGGCCTGGATCCAACAGCACTTTGGCGTCCATCTCTCGACCATGGAGGCCAACACCAGCATCAGCCTGCTGCAGCTGGCCGATCTCGTCATGGACAGGATGGTGGTGAAGCACAGGCAGGCGAAACAGCCGGGAAAGCCTTGGATAGGCGGAAAACAGCCGCACGCAGCGATTGGGACAGCGTGATTGACGTGGCTAAGTAAACTTGTTGAATCTCTTTACGTTTCAGTGTCTACTTCTTCGTACTCCTCGCCTCCCTGGACAGTATAGTCGTTGCATGATCTGCACCTTGTTCATTGTTTGATTTCGGGCTCTGATCCACACAGGAGTCAGTCTTCAGTCCGAGGTCACCCATCCCTCAGTTTCTTTATGAAAAGTATTCAAGTTCAGCGCACTGCGCGTCTATTCGGGCATTGATCGTACTGCTCGTGAGCATGTTCAGGTTCTGTACCTCGGTTGTGTACTTTTGTTGATGTCTCATCACCTGCCTGCGGCTGCTTTCAAGGAATCTCAGCATGGACTTGATAATATGGGATACTTTCTCTTAAGTTTGCATTTCAGTACAGTGAAGACCCACTAAGAGAGATCATATAAATTCATTTAGATTGCAAGTGATATAGAGTGCCGAATTGAACAGCGTGATTGACATCGTTCCATTAGATAGAGTTGATATCTATAATGTCATACTTACTGTTACTTTAATTCCAAGCATTGCAGTTAAGCAGAAATCCGGTCAGCTTCAGAAAACGCGTTGGATGACAGGCTTAATCTTATGATCAGTGCTGCCGTGCCATGGAGCTGTTGAAGCATGATGCCGAGAGCATTAGGCTCCAGCAAAACGGGATTTTGTCACAGCTTGTCTTTCTACGCTTTAACAAAGCTACAGAGAGCGAAACAGTCTGTTAGGAAGACATGATGAGTAAACCGGAGACGGATTTGGCGGAGACCGGGTCCGATAAATCGGCGTCCGTGTTGCTTCCAGAGTACGGGGCCCGCTTTATGGTGGTCTCGCCGGGCCCGACCGGGAATAATTTCCTTTTCGTGTTCGAACCAGGCAAGATCAACACAGAGAGTCGCATTGACAAGCGTGATCCCTGTTAGTATCCACACCAACTCCGCAGACCGCCGTTGACCAAAGTCCCTTTCACCAGCTTTTCCGTTCACCAAGCAAACTGTGGAAATTTTTGCTCGTCTCTCATGGTCTCACGATGATGCCAGGCGTGCCTTTTTAAGAGTTTTCGCAGTCAAAACTTGACGAAACAAGGAGCGGCCGCCTCCAGGCAACAGAGCGGCCCTATATCCAAGAATTGCTTCATTGAATGGGCCCTCTTCGGAGCCGAGCTTCCTCTAACGGGTTGAGGAAGTTCGAATCAGGCTCTGGCCATTTGCCGTACTCCACTCCTCGGGCTGCTAAGTGCTTCTGGAAGCAAACGTGGGCCGTCCCGGCACACAAATGCCACCTCAAGTCGCGCCCGTTCTGTCTCGCATCGGGCAATTGGTTAAAACGGCTCAAGATGCATGCGTTCTGGCATGGATTCTTGCGAAGTCGCAAGCCAAGTCAGCCCATTGTCGTTGGCGGTCCACATTTGACGCGTCTCGATATAGACCTGCTCGCCCAAAATTGAAATGCCATGAGGTTTTCTGCTTGATTTCCTGATTTCTTCTTGAAACTCGGTTTTCGCGAAAGACGTCCTCGCTCTCTGATTGGCCGCAGCCTCTGGCATCTCTTGGTAAGTAACGACTTTCAACCCTGAATGCTCACCAAGACCACTCCACAACGGATACCCGGAACCGAACTTAATCTACATATGCCGTCTTTCAATCTCCATCTTCTACGTAACCCCGTCGCTAAGGTTTCGTGGCAGCTCCCAGCATCGGGCGTAACCCATCACGCGCAACCCATCACACATTACCCACCGGGCAAAACCCATCTCTCTTGAGGCGAATTTGCATCTTCTAATCGCAAAAGTTGTGAGACGTGAACTCAAGACACAGTTCGTCCAACGGAGGATCGGTCGCTATTGAAGCCGATAGAAGAGTTTCATCTGCGGACTCATCGTCATATCTCCACTTTGACGCTGGAGGTTTGACTTTCAGGCTCGACGAACCTGTTCTGGATCGTCGTCACACAGTCACCTTGGCGCATCCGGCTTGATTTTATAAAGAGGGTCTAAAAAGCTCTATGAAAGCCATATCTCACAAGCTCATCCAGCACTTCATCATATCTCTCAACACTTTTTCGGCGATCTCATAGTTGTGATGGCCATCATGTCAGACAAACCGTTCACAGTCCTCATCGCCGGCGGCGGTATAGCCGGCCTGACGCTCGCAAACATGCTCGAGAAGATCGGCGTCAACTACTTGATTCTTGAGGGTTATCGCGAGATGGCACCTCAAGTAGGTGCAAGCATCGGCATCCTTCCAAATGGTTGCCGCGTCCTGGACCAGATTGGCCTGTACGACGAGATCAGGAAACTCATCGATGGCCCTCTCTACGAGACGTCTCTTCGCCACCCTAAAGGAAACATGGTCACCAACTACTTGAACGTTGGAGGTCAAGTACGCGAAAGGTAAGTGGCAATAACCTGTCATGCCTGTGAGCGCGTTTTTGAACAGAGTTTGACATGTCTCCAGGCACGGATATGATACCGTCTTCGTGGACCGCCAAATGATCCTTGAAGTGTTGTGGCGCAACCTCAAGAATAAGGACAATATCCTTGTCAACAAAAAGGTGACAAAGGTCGAGCTTGAGCCATCGCGAGTCAAGGTGGAGACAGGCGATGGAAGTTCTTACTACGGAGACATCTTGGTCGGTGCAGATGGTGTCCACAGCAAGGTCAGAAATGAGATGTGGCGGCTTGCAGATGCTCTTGAGCCTGGCTATATTCCTGCCTCGGAGTACAAAGGTAAGTCTAGGCCCACTGAACTCTGTGGGAACAGCGACTAACAGATGAAACAGAGTGTCTTCCCACGGTCTACAAGTGCATTTTCGGCATTTCCATCGACAAGAGCTGGGAGCCACAGACTGTGCAGACGAACTTGAACAAGGGCTACTCTTACCTCATCATCAGTGGACCTAAGAACCGTGTTTACTGGTTCCTGTTTGTTAACATGGGTACGACTCACTACGGCCCTGAGCTCCCCAGCTTCACCAAGAAAGACGAAGAGACCTTGGCAAATGAGCACATGAACGACAAGATTCTGGAGAACCGCACCTTCAGAGATTTGTACTCGACCAAGATCTCATCCGTGCTCACCCCTTTACCCGAATATGTGTTCAAGAGGTGGCATTTCCAGCGCATCATGACCATTGGAGATGCGGCGCACAAGGTGGGACATCCCTGCCATCTCATCAATCGCCACGTGATCATGCTGACCACCATCATTACAGTTCGAGCCAATTGCCGGCCAGGGAGGCAACAGTGCAATCGAGACCGCTGCTGTCCTCGTCTCAAACCTCGCAACTATGCTAAAGAGCAAGACGCGCCCGTCAGACATCACCTCGGCCGACATCAACGCCGTATTCACCAAGACCCAAGCGACACGGGAGGCACGAACCCAGGCGCTCGTGAAGGCATCTCACGAAGAGCAGCGCTTCGCCGCCATGGAATCCCCTCTCCTGGAAGTGGTTGGTAATCACGTTGCTCCAATTCTTTCTCTCGACGAAAAGTGGGATCAGTGGTCCCAAAACATTGAGGGTGGGCACAAGCTCGAGATCATGGATGGTCCGAAACGTCCCCATGCCGTCCCATTCCATGACGAGCTGGCCAGCACTCCTCTAACTCCGTCCTACATCCCCAAGATCACAGTTGCCGCCGCGCTGTGCGGTCTGCTCTACATTGCGCAACACGCGCTTGTTCTGAATACGGGCCCAGAGGTTGTCGCTGTGAGCGCCTCGTTCGTTGGCGTGCCTGCAAAGACCACTTACACGGGGTTCCCATCAATCGACAATCTTCTCGCCATCTTCGTTTGGGCCTTCTCGGAACAAGTCGCTGGGCCCAATCCCAACGACAGAACCCAGTGCCTCTACTTCCTGATCAGTTTGATCCCCATCATCTACATCTGGACGGTCGAAGGCTACCGTAACGGCAACGTTCATTCCTTGGTTTCCATCCCGTCCATCTTTGGTATCTACCAGCTGCTCGGAATAGGAAAGGTCGCGCCATTCTACTTCCTCCTCAGCGTGTACACAACCAGCAGAAGCGTCTACGCCCGCACGACCGGCCGTCCCGTTCCTTCTCATGTCGCCAAGGTCATCCTACCCGCTCTGTGTCTTGGATACGCCATCCCCACGGCCCTCATGTTCCTGCCCCACGAGGATGCCGTCACTCAGCAGAACGCCATCGCTTTCTGGCAACCATTCCCTGTCTATGTCTCACTTCTCGCCTGGGCCGGTTCAAAGGTTGTGTATGCCATGAAGCCCACCAAGACCCTCGATTGGGAAGCCCTCGAGAACAAGGATCTCCCTTACCTTCAGTCTGGCTACGCTTTCTGCTTCTTCGCCACTGCCGTCACTCACATCAGCACATTCCTGTACGCCGGTCTCAACGCCTCCGTCTCCATCTCTGAGTCCTTCTTCGGTCTTCCCCCTTGGGACGCGATGACCATCGCTGGGTTCTGGAAGTACGACATGGTGCTTTGCTTCGCCTCCGTCGCGGTCTGGCTTCTTTACAGCGTGTTCGAGATGAGAAGATTCGGATACATCACGACCTCGGCGGCACTTAAGGCAGTTGGACTGACTCTGGCCGGTAGTGTGCTTGTGGGACCTTCTGCCACGTATGCAGGTGTCTGGGCCTGGAGAGAGTCGGTCATTGCGAGCTATGGCAAGGCCGTGACCAAGTCGAAGGAAGATTAAGGGTGACATCTCATGTCAGTGGGCCTATCTCGGACCTTCGCTTGCCTGTGTGCATGGAGCGCGTTATCTCTGTTGTATGAGCGGTGCAAATCTTTGTTATTTAATTAGGCACGTCATGGCACGGATAGGTATTCTCCAAATTGGGTAGAAGATTGGTAATCAAGAGACATATCCTGGTGTAATTCTGAAATATGCGTTTCTTTAGATAGTCCGCAATAAGGCAAGGCCGAGTCCTTCGCCCGGCAGTGCTGGTGATAGGGGCAGTTCAAGTCTTGGCTTTCTCGATGTTGCACACTTACCTCCACAAATGCTCCGACTTGCCGCCGCTAGAAGCCTGTACAAGCCGAAGATTCGGCCGTCACCTTAAATTTGCCCCTGTCCCAACGTCATCCATAGTAGTACCAGGTCTTCACTAGGGCCAACCGGTTGAACACAAGCACGAGATGATGGCTGTGCTCCCAGATCAACCCCACTACGCTAATGCAACCCGATGACTTCCCGCAACTTTAACAAGGAGTCAGGGATGTAAGACATCCACACAAGCACTCATGCAGCTTGATGACATCCCACTCGTCGACTTCATCCTTCTGAATACCGGCAAATTACCAATCATGATGTTTCTTGGCGTTATGATGCTCGCGTGCCGAAATGGATTGGCGTTGCGCGGCCTCATCCGCTGATAATCTCAACGGCAGTTCTTGGTTCTACCGACGATCTTGGCAATGCCCTCAACATGGCTATAAGAAGGCGATATGCACGTTGCTTGAAGTCTGGACCTAGCTATATCATCATTCACTTGTTACAATTGCTTAACTGTGAACTCGGATATCATGACCATCATTGGTAAAGCCATCACGGCATTCTGCCTCACAACTTTCCTCAACACAATGCCAGCCACCGCTCAAAACATGTCTTTTGGCGCCGACAACTTCTACCGCAGCGAGAACGTCACCCTACAGCCCATCACCATCCAGACGCAATTCAACACCACGGTCGCCGGTAATCTCTTCACCCCAAACAACCTCGCGCGCAACAGTACCTCCCCGGCCATCGTCGTCAGCCACCCTATGGGCGCCGTCAAGGAACAAAGCGCAAACCTCTATGCCACCAAGCTGGCCGAGCAGGGTTTCGTCACTGTGTCCATCGACATGCCCTTCTGGGGCGGCAGCTCAGGCGAGCCGCGCAACGCCGTTGCTCCAGAGCTCTACGCCGAAGCTTTCAGCGCCACTGTAGACTACCTCGGCGGCCAATCCTTCGTCGACCGCGAGCGCATCGGTGGTCTGGGCATCTGCGGCAGCGGCTCCTTCGTCATCAGCGCAGCCAAGATTGATCCGCGCCTGAAGGCCGTCGCCACGGCGAGCATGTACGACATGGGTGCGGCCGCCCGCGACGGCTTGCAGAAGGCGCAGAGCGTCGAGCAGCGCAAGGAGATCATTGCCTCAGCAGCCCAGCAGCGGTGGGTCGAAGCTGCCGGCGGCGAGACCGAGTACACCGGCGGCACCACCCACGAGCTCACTGAGGACACGCCTGCTGTCCAACGCGAGTTTTACGACTATTACCGCACCCCTCGCGGCGAGTTCACCCCTGAAGGCTCGTCGCCCAACCTCACCACGCACCCGACCCTCACCAGCATGGTCAAGTTCATGAACTTCTACCCGTTCAACGACATTGAGACGATCTCGCCCCGCCCGATGCTTTTCATCTCTGGCGATCAGGCGCACTCTCGCGAGTTCAGCGAGGCAGCCTATGCCCAGGCGTGCGAGCCGAAGGAGCTTGTTTGGGTTCCGGGTGCTGGACATGTTGATCTCTACGACCGCGTGGGGCTCATCCCGTTTGGCAAGCTTACCCAGTTCTTCCAGACTAACCTTGCCTAAATCCATTAGAGGAACAAGAGTTAACTCGTAACAATCCTCCGCTAGAATGTAAGAGTCATGTATGAATAGGCCTACATAGATCAAGCAATATACTTATACATGCACGCGCTGTTGCGCGACCCTACAGCGCTCTGACAAACCCTTCTGTCTCGGGAATACTTGCTCAAAATAGGCGTTTCCAGTTGACTCTCGTGATCCCCTGAGCTTCTTCTAAGCCTTATACTTCACCCCCAGCAACACCCAAGACTCAATGATGACTTGTGCCACGAAGTGTCGGCCCTAAGGCCCGGACTTATCCCTATTGCGGCAATTCAGTTCCGAGAATATTTTCAGCGTCTCTATTGATCATGCTGTGATGACCATCTCGCGTTCGCAAACTGGCTGACACTCTCCCTTAGATTGTGTGGGCCATTTGTGGAGAGTGTCAGCATGTTGCAGATGTCATCAAGTTGCAGCTCTGACCCGACCAATCGGACGCATCACCGAAACCAAGCGCGGTGCTTCACTTACAACCCCAGATTCCACTTCAACATCAAGCAACGTCATATTTTCCAAGAACAAGAACATGACTGTTAGTCTGAGACCTCATAAATGAACAATGTTCCGTTACCGCAAGAAGACGCCTCTCAGCCAAAGTCCTCAGATCCATCCAATAACATCCCAAGCCGTACCGATACATCACAATGTCCTTCTTCGAATACCCCCCGAAACCAAAGTCCTCCCTAGGCTACCATCGCATCCTCTCCCCGACAGCCTCCTTGAAGGTCTCCCCAATCTGCCTCGGCGGTATCGGCATCGGCCACTCCTGGTCCTCCATCTTCGGCAAGAACGAAGACCCCTTCGCCCTCCTCGACGCATACTTCGCCCTCGGCGGCAACTTCATCGACACCTCCAACATCTACAACTCAGAAGACTCGGAGCGTCTCATTGGAGAATGGATGGAGAAGCGCGGCGTGCGGGACCAGATCGTCTTGGCCACCAAATACACCGCGGGTTTCCGCTCGTACAACCGCGAGAAAGAGCCACTGCAGAGTAATTTCACAGGGAATTCGGCCAAGAGCATGCACATTTCCGTCCGAGAGAGTTTGAAGAAGCTGAGGACGGACTACATTGATGTATTGTACGTGCACTGGTGGGATTGGGCCACAGGCGTGGAGGAGGTTATGAGGGGCCTGCATGCGCATGTCATGGCGAAGGAGGTGCTGTATCTGGGTGTTTCGAACACGCCGGCGTGGGTTGTTGTCAAGGCGAACGCATGCAGGTTCACCTATCAAAAGATCTGACAGACATCCATGCTGACAAAAGGACTAGTCGCCCGCGCCAACGGTCTCACGCCCTTCTCGGTCTACCAAGGACGCTGGAACGCCGGCTTCCGCGACATGGAAGCGGAGATCATCCCGATGTGCGAGGACCAGGGCATGGCCATCGTTCCCTGGGCAGCTCTCGGCGGCGGCAAGTTCCTGACCGCCGAGGAAAGAGAGGCGCGCGATAAAGACCCCAACGCCCGCAAGTCTTCTCACGGGCAGGAGGTCTCGGTCGCCCTCTGCGAGGCGCTTGAAAAGATTGCAAAAGAGAAGGGCGCGACTCTTCGGTCGATCGTATGTTCCACCATGTGGTAAACTCCAGATGTTGGAGGCTAACTTTCGACAGGCCCTGGCTTATCTATTCCATCAATCCCCTTACGTCTTCCCAATCGTCGGCGTCAACACCGTCGCGCACGTCGAGGCCATCCCCGAAGCAATCGGCATCGAGCTTTCCAAAGCAGATATTGATCTCATCCACGAAGCCTCGCCGTTTGACCCGCGGTTCCCGATGAACTTTGCGTTTGGTTACATGAAGGGCGGGAAGTATGATTTGAGTCTAACGGCTGCGGACAACCAGCAGTACACTATTGCGGCGTGGATCGATGCGCCGCCGAAGCCTTTGGTAAGTCAAGCTTCAAGTCCATACATGTTTCTGGCTAACACCATTCAGCCATACAAGCCTAGGAAGGTCTCGGAGACGGAGGCTCAGGAGTGATGTTGCGTTCCTTTGCATGAACGAGGAGTCTTCTAGCTAGGTTTGAGTGCATCCATCGGGAAGTTCAGCGACGGAAAAACGTATCAGCATTGCCAATCATACAGGACACGTTCTGACTCACAGATCTCATATTCCAAATGCCAGGTTTTCGTCGAATTTTGCTTGAATATTTTACACACTCGGCCCCACCGTACGGGACCGATGACGCCGTGCCCCGGAGAGCACCGGTCATCTCACCCCGATGAACCCCATAAGCCGGCGGGATACTTGCCTGCACATACCAAATGGAGTAACCCCAACTACATCATGGCCCAATAGCATGCTACCTCGAGTCAGCATTGTCCTGCCATCCACAGTGACAAATTCCCGGAGATATGGAAATGCATCTTCGTTCTCCATCCACAGAGAAAAACCAGTACAAGTCCATGATATTCTAAGCCCTGCATCAAATAAACACGCATGACTAGCCCCACCCGACCTCTCAACGAGAAATTTCCGCCAGAAGAGGCTTAGACGCCGCAAGAGTCGGGACTTGACGGACCCATACGGACATCACGAGCGGCCACAAAATGGTTCCAAACAAGTCAGATCTGGACAACTCCGCGGACCTTCCCGCCCCCTTCCCGCTCCATGTCAGCACATCATCGGCCAACAAAATCCCTGCAAGCCATGTTTTTCGTGTCCTACCAAGTACATTGTCCCTGGGAATGCAGTGTCCTCTCCAGCAGTACTGGCCAACCGGGTCATCCGTATTACAATTTGAATTTGTTGACGTCGCGGAGTGTCGCTCGCTCGCCATCAGACCACAACTCATCATGAGATGGACCGTCGCCCACCGGTTGAAGCCTGTGCTTTTGAGATCTAGACTTCAGTGACGTCGTTTTCAAAAAGGTGGAAAGAGTATAAAATGATAACATAGCCTCGCCAAAATGCGTTCGTGATCAGAGACATCATCGAGCAACTCACAGTCTCATTCATGATTTCTACATCCCGCCTACTCAGGTCTTCAAAGATCACTCCAGCCCTCAGAAACACCCTCTCAGCCCGCAAAATGGCAACCTCCGAGCCCACTTCTTTCCCCTTCAACCGCGCCTCCGGCCTAGAGCCGCCAGCAGAATACGCCCGCCTCCGCGCCTCAGACCCCGTGTCCCGCGTCAAGCTCTTTGACGGCTCACTGGCATGGCTGGTGACCAAGTACAAGGACGTCTGCGCCGTGGCCACGGATACTCGCTTATCCAAGGTGAGCTCTCATTCAAGACCGTAAAATCGCTGCAAGCAGTTGACATGATACAACCAAGGAACGCACGAGGCCCGGTTTCCCAGAGCTCAGCGCCGGCGACAAAGCAGCCGCCAAGAACAAGCCCACCTTCGTCGACATGGATCCTCCAGCGCACATGCGTCAGCGATCCATGGTCGAGCCTCTCTTCATTGCCGAGCACGTCGAGACGATGAAGCCGTACATTCAGAATACGGTAGACCAGCTGCTTGACCAGATGGTCGCGAAGGGGTGCGAGGAGCCAGTCGATCTCATTGAGAACTTTGCCTTGCCTGTTCCCTCATATGTAAGCAAATCCGCTTTCTTCGTTTTCCCTGGTTGCTTTTTGTGCAAAACCCAGTTTCACGGAGCTGACATGAATTCCTGAAAGATCATCTACACCATCCTCGGCGTCCCCTTTGAAGACCTCGAATACCTCACCCAGCAAAACGCGATCCGCACAAACGGCAGCGGCACCGCTCTTCAAGCTCAAGCTGCCAACCAGTAAGTCACCCAATCTCATGCATTCTCTGTCGACTTGTTCACACATCCTTCAGGGAATTGCTCGACTACCTCGCCAACCTCGTCGACAAGCGTTCCGAACAGCCCAAGGACGACCTCATCAGCAAGCTTGTCGTCGAGCAGCTCAGGCCTGGCCACATTGAAAAGTCTGATGCGGTGCAGATTGCTTTCTTGCTGTTGGTAGCAGGCAACGCCACGATGGTGAACATGATTGCGCTCGTAAGTTTCTCTCTCGAACAATTTCTGCGGCCGATGGCTGATATGAGCCAGGGCGTGATCGAATTCCTCCGCAACCCGACACAACTCGCGGATCTCAAGTCAGACCCCTCTCTCTCGAAGGCTTTTGTCGAAGAACTTTGCAGGTATCACACAGGCTCGTCGATGGCGATGAAAAGAGTTGCGAAAGAGGACATTGTCCTCGGCGGTCATGTAAGTTATTTGACGTCTCTAGGTTCTCTGTGGCGGAAGGCGTAGACTAACATTACGCAGACCATCAAAGCGGGTGAAGGCATCATCGCCGCCAACGCCTCCGGCAACCGCGACGAAGAAGTTTTCCCGGACCCGAACGTCTTCAACATGCACCGCACCCCGGATCCCAACCACGCCCTGGGCTTCGGCTTCGGCCCGCACCGGTGCATTGCCGAACCTCTGGCACGCGCAGAGATGGAGGTTGTCTTTGGTAAGCGGACTTCTCCTGTCTTTCTTCTTTCGTCACGTAACTTCCCCACGAACACTCCGTCAACTTCCTTCTCCCCTCCATTCTCCACGCCAGTATCCCACGGAAAGGCAGGCATCAAGCTTTGAGAGCAGCTTACTAACGTCTCGGCCCAGCCACCCTCTTCCACAAGCTGCCCAACCTTAAGATCGCCGTTCCAATCTCCGAGCTGGAGTTCACACCACTTCACAAGGACGTCGGCGTGGTCAAGCTCCCAGTGACATGGTAAACGCTGTCATCCACACACCTAGCACGGGTATTACACGGGTCAGAGGGGTTGAAAGTAAGGCGCTGGGTGCGTGTTCAAAGTAGGGCGTAGGAAAGTCAAAGCATACTACACGAGGGGCTTGGTGAACTTTGACAGAGCAATTCCTCTCCTCGGGCGGAACCCCTCATTTCCTCTCCTCTCCTCATTCCAGTAATCCGGGTTTCCATGTTATCTAGATCTATCTTGGCGGAACATGGCAAACAAAATATCAGACGATCGCACAGAGTTCAGCAGGTCAGCACCCAGCATGACCCAAATACGTTGATGAAACGCGGCTCCAAAGTCTTTTACGGGTGATTCCATCCCAACTTCTGGACCCCCTCAACCTTGAACGGAACCGAGATCGGCCAGTGGTGCTTTGAAGAAGGTCCAGCAGCTTGGTCGAGAGGAGCTGGAGGAGTGGAAGGTTGGGCTTATAAGGAGGTGACAGCTCAGTTGACATGCTCGGTTGGAACCATTCATAGACACGAATACGGAACATCCATTGATGTCACTGAAAGAACAGTACAACTTCAGAAACGAAACAACTGATACAAGAACTTCAAGATGCAGGCAGTAGATAATACTATTCTCATGGGGGAGAGAAACAGGCAGGCTCCGTGGTACACGCCAACCATGGAGAAGGAAATCTCGCCAGAAACGAGAGATCTCCTCGAGAACTACGCTCACGTTGCGCCCGAAGACATCCAAGAACACATCATGACAATGGTCAGTACCTGTTCCCCCTGTCGCCCTCAAACACAGCTCTTCTAACACACACACCGCAGCGTGACAAGATCTGGGAAGTCTTCCCCTACCCCTGCGTGGGCCACTTCTCCTTCCTGGACCTCAACCTCCGCCACCGCGCCGTCTACCCCTCGCTCGTCGCGCGCCTGCAGGAGCCCGGCGCTCGGCACCTCGAGGTGGCCTGCTGCATCGGCCAGGACCTGCGCAAGATGGTCTACGACGGCGTGCCCTCGCAGAACATCACCGCCATCGAGATCGAGCAGGGCTACATCGACGCCGGCTACGACCTCTTCCGCGACAGGGACACCCTCAAGACCACCTTCGTCAACGCCGACATGCTCGACGACAAGAGCGCGAAGCTCAATGCGCTCGAGGGCCAGTTCGACTCGGCGCACCTGGGGCTGTGCCTGCACCTGTGGAACAGGGGGGACCAGATGACGGTGCTGAGGCGGGTGATCCGCCTGCTGAAGCAGAAGCCGGGTGTGGTCATGGTGGGACACGCGGTTGGGCACGCGGACGGGTTGGAGTTGCCGGGCATGTTCAACAAGCCCAGCCTGCGGCATAACCTGCAGACGTGGGAGAGCATGTGGGTTGACATATCCAAGGCGACGGGCACGCGGTGGAAGCTCAAGACGGAGGTGAGTGACCAGATTGGAACCATGGATGGGCCTGGCGCGAAGAAGCCCGCGTGGTGGGACAAGGACTGGCGCTTTGTCGCGTTTGAAGTCACAAGAGAGGAGTAAATAAGAGTCCAACAGCTCAACCAGAACAGAAAAGACATGTCACGATAGAAAAGACAAGTTTGGGGACGATGACAGTGTCATGAAGCATTTCCTTTGCTAGCCTAGGGCCATGGCCCGATTCATAAACCCGATTCCGGTTCCCAAACCATGCCTGAAAGGACAACTTTTTCATCCACTGCTCGTAAACGCCATCATGCCCAACACATCCCTGCGGTAGCCGACTTAAGCGGTCTTGGCGACGGTGGGGACGATCTTCTTGCCGTCCTTGTTGTAGCGGACGCGGGGAGGGGGAGCACGGTTGCGGCGGCCGACGACGGAACGGACACTGCGATGGAAGGTCAGCATTACACGGTCTCAGCACGAGTCCGCTCAAGACCGATTCCTCTTGCGAGGTAAGGGTCGAGGGACAACGGAGGGTGGGAGCTTCGAGTAGAGCCAAGGTTCTTCTGTAGCGCCTGCTGACCACCGGCACGGGGGCCGGGGCGCGCAGTCGTCGCTCCCGCGGACGAACGTACCGGACAATCTTGCCGTGGATGGCGCAAGAGACACAGTACTGCAGCTTCAGGTACATCTTGGGTACGGTGTACTCCGCGAAGACGGAGGCGTCCGAGATATCACCTGTCGGATTATTAGTTAATTGATCGAGTAGGGAAGGAAGGGGAGGTAGGCGTACGGATAGCAGCAGACTCGACCATGTTGCGGATGGTGAAGCGCTTGATGGCCTTGTCCTTGGGCGTGCAGCGCGAGCAGTTGCTGCAGCGGATGGGCTTGACGTGGCCGCGGCCCTTCTTGTTGCGTCCGCTGTAGGTTCACCAAAGTCAGCAATCGTGATCCCGCTTGGTCGGTTGCGTGAAAGCCTCAACGGCGACAGCGACGTCGACGGCGAGCCGGGCTCATGATATTGTGTGCATGACAATCGTCGTCGACGTCGAGGCCACGCTCGAGGGCAGAGAGGGGACGGGAGGGTCGTACTTGTTCTTTCTCTTCTTGACCATTTTGGCGACGTCTGCTGGGTGATTAGTATCCGTGGAGAGGAGAAGGAAGAAGGAGGAGAAAACTCGCGGCAGACATACTTGAAGTTTTCACTCGGCTTGCTGAGTCAAGATTTCCGTTTGGTGGGCTGGGCCTCTGCGAACTGTCGACGCAATGGTGGATAACGAGAAGTGGTTGCAGGCGAAGGAGGGCTGGTCGCAAGGGCTGGCTCGAGATCCACCAAGACCGGGGACGACCAGAGGGAAAGGGCACACCAGAAAAAAAAAGAGCCATTTTCGCGCGCACAAGTCCATTTCCATAGGCCCCCACAGCCAATCACCGTCCCCCAATGCCGTGCCCTCGCTTGTCTGAAGCCCAGGTCCCACTTTTCCCAACCCCAGGGCCCCAGCGCGGCGGCCGTCGGTTTTCCCGTCCAAGAGGCCGCGCCGACCACCATTTTCTCATTTAATTTTCTCTCCATCCCACCCCAAACCCATCTGAGGATTTGCTTAGGAAGGCAATAGTCATATTGTCGAGGTACGTCTGAAGATGCTTCTGCTCCCTCTTTGCTGGCCGTGAGCGTCCTCTTCCCACTTCTCTCGATATCGTTCCCGTCTCTGGCTTGTCGAGTTTCTCTGCGGCGGCGTCGCCCTTCGCCCCCCGACGCAATCGCGAAATCGAAAGCGTCGGTTGTGCGGCGCAGCGGCCACGCCCACCATTGTCGAAAATCCAGCAAAGCGTGCGTGCGTGCGCGCGACGTTGTGACATTCATCGCCATCACCACCGCCTTTCGCCTCGACAAATTGCCTCCCTGCCAGGAACACAAGCCAGAGACCGAGAAGAATCGAGAGAAGCCCAGGAAGGGCGCCTCATCGGGCCAGCACCACAACCAGCAGTGTGCCAGAAAACTAACCTCACACAAGTAGGCAATCATGCAGATCTTCGTCAAGACCCTCACGGGTAAGACTATCACCCTTGAGGTGGAGTCTTCCGACACCATCGACAATGTCAAGTCCAAGATCCAGGACAAGGAGGGCATCCCCCCCGACCAGCAGCGCCTGATCTTCGCCGGAAAGCAGCTCGAGGACGGCCGCACCCTCTCCGACTACAACATCCAGAAGGAGAGCACCCTCCACCTCGTCCTGCGCCTGCGTGGAGGTGCCAAGAAGCGCAAGAAGAAGGTCTACACCACCCCCAAGAAGATCAAGCACAAGCGCAAGAAGACCAAGTTGGCCGTCCTCAAGTACTACAAGGTCGACTCCGACGGCAAGATTGAGCGTCTCCGCCGCGAGTGCCCCTCCGACACCGTATGTTTTGCCATTCCTCTGCCTCTCCCCAGGAACATATTCACTAACTCCTATTCAGTGCGGTGCCGGTGTTTTCATGGCTGCCATGAACGACCGCCAGTACTGCGGCCGCTGCCACCTCACCTACGTCTTCGACAAGAAGGAGTAAGCTTGTTGCCAGTGTATCGCGGATGTGAAGGATAAAAAAAGGCTTGTTTGGGAGGAATGGTTTCCAGGGTTAGCATTCTAGTCGGCAGGAAGCCGCACAAAAAGGGGCGTTGATGTAGATACCACCACATCACTGGCTGGCAATGACGATGCAAAATTCACGACACTCATGACCATTCCTCCACCACCAGTTCATCCTGCAGTGACAGTGTGATTCATGATGCTCCATTACAAATTGCTACAACTTTGTGGTATCTAATTGTTGGGGAATCCGTTCCTCAAGTTCTCATACTTCGTCTCCGGGTACGTGATGCAGTTGTCCCGCCTCTGCAACGAATGCGGTCCGCCAAAGGCATGCACGACGGTGCCGATAAGAGACTCATGGCCGGGCTTATCGGCGCTGCTCTCCCACCACATGCCGCCTCCGAGACCCCACCCCCTGATGTAATCGCCCTTCTTCCGTGCCAGGTGCTGGTTGTCGTAGCTGATCATCTTCCTCCTGCCGGCATCGTAGGAATAGCTCGCCCCGGTCTCCTCGTCCACGTACTCCTGCGAGCCGGGCAGCGGCAGCACCTTGTAGTCAAACACGCCATTCTCCCAGCTTCCCTCGCCGATGCCAGAATACGGCGCACCGGGACCGTCCGTGTTCTCAAAGGCACGGCCGTACAGCGGCATACCCAGCACGATCTTGGTGGGGTTCACGCCGTGCGAGGTGTAATACGACAGCGCGGCAGCCGTGCTGAAGGGTGTTGATCTCGGGTTTCTGTTGCAGGGCTGCAGGTTCGCCTGGTGGCCAGCGGTGCTATCCCAGGAGCCCGCATAATCATACGCCATCAGGTTCCAGAAGTCGAGGAGACGGTCCATGGCGGGGAGGTTCATCTTCTCGTAGTTCTGCGCGCCGGCGGGGCACGCGACGGTCAGCTCGAAGTGGTACCACTGCGGCAGCGTCGAAGCATACGCATCCATGGCGTCGCGGGTCGCCTGCAGCAGGGCCACGAAGTCGGACGCCTCGGCCTGGTTCTGCGGGTATTCCCAGTCGATGTCGATGCCGTCGAAGCCGAGGTTCTTGATCAGGTCGACGCAGCTGCGGGCGAAAGTGTCGCGGCCCTGCGGGGTGCTGGCGGGGTTCTTGAAGTTGGAGGAGTATGTCCAGCCGCCGACGGAGAGCAGGACCTTGAGGTTGCGGTTGCGGCGCTTGAGGAGGTTGAGCTGCTTCAGACAGCCGTAGAGGTTGGTGCCGACTTCGTTCCAGCTGTCGCCCTCCCAGTGGATGTCGGTGTCGGCCCAGCCGTCGGTGAGGTGGACCTCGCCCGTGTCGGAGCGGACGTTGGCGAAGGCATAGAGGATGTGGGTGAGGTTCTCGACGGGGAGGTCCTGGGGGCGGTGCTTGCGGGCGTAGATTGCCCTAGAGAGGTCAGTTTGGTCAGACAAGAGAAAGGAACCAGGAGAATTACCAGTTGACAAAGTAGGCTACCGAACGGAAGCCTGGACCGCCGCCCATGTTGTCTTCAGCGGGTGATTTGAAGCTGGGGAGCGGGACTCGGGAGAAGAGGTTGGTGTAGGTGTGCGTGAGGAAGAGCGTGGCGAGGAGAACTGCGATCGAGGTGAGGATGCAGGTCGGGCGCTGGAAATGCATACAGTTGGATTATATGCCAAGGTACAACGCGAGAGGGACAGAGTAGATGCAAGCAGCAGATGGGAAGTTGTGGTTCTTATTGCTGACGACGAGCTAGGTAGCTGTTTGGCCAAGATTTTTTACACGTGTAGACGGATACGAATTACACGAATGGCAGTGCTGAGCTATGTGCAGTGAGTGTGCTGCGATGCAGGTGGTGCAGCTCCATCAGATGGGATCCCTCGCCCAGAGGACAGGACCTGAGAGAGGCAGCCCTGCTGGAGCCCCGCGGTGGACAGACAGACGAATGGCACTGCCCCTCCCCCTCCCTGCGCCATGAGCTGTAATGTACGTAAAGTGCCAGGACGGGAGCAACGTGCCGTAACGCTGGTGCAATGCTGCTGCTGCTGCTGCAAGCCTGCAATGCCAGCTGCTTGGTGCCACGCTTTGTGACTGGAGCTGTGAGCTGGGTGAGGCTTCGAGGTGTCGTCAGCGCGTTCAAGCCACAGACAATCCTAGCAGTGGCACGGCAGGAACGCCTTGGAAGCGAGGAGGAAGGAGTGCTGGGAGTGACGCTTGGCAAGGTTCAGGCGGCAAGTCGTGGCGCGGGCGGGTGATCTGCATGGTGCCTGCCTGGTAGATGTACCTCCCCTGCGAGCAGATGCCTGTAGGTACATTTGTTGACTTTCCGTGCTCGGGAAATGCTGACCTAATACGCAGCCGTTGAGTGCCCACTGCCGGGCGCTCGGAGGTGCTGTGGTCTCCGTCTCTCGTGTCGGTAGAGCCGGTAGCTCACGGGCTGGAACAGCGACACGCCAGCTGCCAGTGACAACGCGGTGCGCTTATTAAGGCAACAAAGCGACGGGAACATGGGATGAAAAATTCGGGCGGGCACGGTGACGACATGACCCCTGAATCGCCAACTGAACAACTTCCATTGACAATAGGGGTCTCCGGTCTCCGGGCTCCGTCTTCGTCCTGTCTTTTGCCAATGGAAGGTCCCGTTCAGTTGGGATGACGGCACTCCCAAAGAAGCCGAAGTCAATGGCCGTCGTCCAACTCTGACCGGTGACATTCCGCCAGACTTCAGCACTGCAGAGGATGGATGAATGACTAGAGCAGACTGGCTGACTGACGCATTCTGTTTGCTGCGTCGTCCAGACAGTTGTGAGATGCGTGGTTTCAAGAGACTCAAACACCATCTGCAACAGCCGCCCAATTAATGCCCGTCCAGACATCGGACATTATATCGCGTGTCCGTTCCCCTATTGCATCCTGCGGGAGTGCTTGCGGCAGTCAGATGCGAATTCCTCAAACTAAAACTTAAGGCATGGAAGGCAAGACGAGGTGCCTTCAAGCGGTGCGCCCAACGTTCGCAACCAACAAAAACACCGCAGGCCCAGCCACCTATCGCAGGCTTGCTTCTTCTTCTTCCTGCAGAGTGATCGCCCTTTAATCAAAACCAGCGGAAGGCCCCAGAGAGGAAAAAACCTCTGCAAAGCAAACCTCTTCCCCCAGCAACACACAAGCAGCAGCGCATCGACACTCCTCCTTTCCGCTGATTCCCACCGGGTGGGCCGGAAAAGACAAAAAAAACGCAGCTTACCGCAGGTCCAGAGGTCATCCGCGTACAACAGCGGCCTACGATTCGCTGCGTCGCTTACCCAGTGGTCCAGTACAGTCTCCCCGAGTCCCCAGACTGGCCCCTAGGCACCCGGACAGACACCGTGAGAATTAAACCCATGTCCGCCTTAAGATTGTCCCTGATCCACCCTAATTCCGCCTCCGGTGCAAGCCACGGGGGAAATTGAAAGACCTAGAGAAAAAAAAAAAGCCCCCGACGACACCGACCACCGACCGCCTCCCTCGGCTTTCTCTTGGCTCCTCCTATTAACCCTCTGCCTCCTTTTGAAGAAGTCACCGCCATCTAACAACGCCTCCTTCTTGTTCACCACCTCAGCCTTGACCGACTTTTGTCTCGTCGTCAATTGCGATCGAACACCAGACAGCGACCTCTGTCTCTGCTCTCTCAACCTCAACCCAACACCTCACCTATACACACGCGACACCCCGCAGTCTCTCATCTTAGAATCACCACAACAACAAACATTCTCATTGAGGGCACGATCAGCCGCCGCACGCGACAATGACCGCGCCCGAACAACTCCCAGAACAGGCCTCGTCGCCAGCACCCTCTGGCAAGGACCAGGCCGTCCGACGACGCAGAAAGTCGAGCATCAGAGCCCACGGCCAGCCGTCCTCTGCCTCCGCGAAGCAGGACGAGCTCGTCGCCCAACGCAGCCGCGCCCGCGCCCTCCTCCGCAAGTGCAAGCACATCGCCGTAAAGCACACCTGGACCACGCCGCTCGTCCTGATCCTCGCCTTCCTGTCCACCTACGCCATCAACCCTACCGAGTCCAACATCGTCCACCACTTCCTCTTCCTCTCCTACAAGCTCTCCGACAACGCCGCCGACGACAATGACGCCCCCGTCCACTACGGCAAGGGCCCCTGGGACATCGCCTTCGTCCTCTTCTACTCCATCGTCCTGACCTTCACCCGCGAATTCGTCATGCAGGAGCTCCTCCGCCCCCTCGCCAAGTCCTACGGCATCCGCTCCAAGGGCAAGCAGCTGCGCTTCATGGAGCAGGGCTACACGGCGCTCTACTTTGCCATCCTCGGTCCCGCCGGCATGTACGTCATGAGCCGGACGCCCGTCTGGTACTTCAACACCACCGGCATGTACGAGCTCTACCCGCACCGCAGCCACGAGGCCATCGTCAAGTTCTACTACCTCTTCGAGGCGGCGTACTGGGCCCAGCAGGCGCTGGTCATGCTCCTCGGCATGGAGAAGCCGCGCAAGGATTACTACGAGCTGGTCGCGCATCACATCGTCACCCTCGGTCTCATCGGCCTCAGCTACCGCTTCCACTTCACCCACATCGGCATTGCCGTCTACCTGACCCACGATATCAGTGATTTCTTCATGGCCGTAAGTGACACCCCTACCCCTCGCCCGGACGCAGCCCAGATCTAACAATATCAGATGTCCAAAACGCTCAACTACATCGACCACCCGATCACCGGTCCGTGGTACTGCCTGTCCCTCGCCTCCTGGATCTACCTGCGCCACGTCATCAACCTTAAGATCCTCTGGTCCATCCTGACCGAGTTCCGCACCGTCGGCCCCTACCAGTTCTACCCCGACTGGGACAACCAGCAGTACAAGTGCATGGCCTCCAACATCATCACCTTCGGCCTGCTGGGCCTGCTGCAGGCGCTCAACCTCTTCTGGCTCTTCTTCCTCGTGCGCATCGGCTACCGCTACGTCTGGCACGGCGAGGAGAAGGACGACCGCTCCGAGGCCGAGGAGTCCGACGTCGAGCCCCTCGAGACCATCGAGGAGGTGTCCAAGATCGACGCCGTGCCCGTCGCGGAGGTTGCGAGCGGCGTGGCCAACGGCAGCGCGAAGTGGAGCAGACGCGCATGATGGGAGGGACGGCCACACTTCGATTCATTGGCTGAGACCGTGCGAGTCTCAGCGCTGTTGTACATATAGCATGCTTATCTAATGTGTAATGTGTAATGATCATGAACAAAGTCATTCGTTTAAACCAATTTGGCAAGCCGTTTTCGCATGCGACGTGAGAGTGATTGGGTGGAGTGGTGACATCATGTTGGGCATGTGAGACTGCGGCCGGGAGACTCGGAGGAGGAGCATTTGGCTTATCCAGTTGCAGGGCGACGTTGAAGCTAGGTCGACGGTTTTGGGTCAGCATGCGGTTGGGCCGGCATTTGCATGTGAGGGGCTTTTTACGGCGCATACAGCGGCGCAAGGAGGACGCCAATCCGTCTTTGCCAAGTATTGAAGGCTTGGATACGTGTTGGATTGTATCAATTGGTAGGTTGGTTTTTTGGCTCGATTTTGCTTGGAAATTCATATTGGTTGTGTAACGGTGTGCTTCTGAATGTTGATCATATGTACCAAAAGTTGCGAATCTTCTTGAACTAAAGTCAATACAAAATGATGTACCAAAATTCGTCTCTCCATCAGCACAGCTCATTGTAACGTGAAAACTTCCATTTAAATATGAGCAAACACTGAGATTCTTTTGAGACAAAATTCATTTCAAAGTAAGAAGTATGAGAGCTGTTACGTGACCCGACTCCCTAGCCGGGTCGTGTCAATGATGGACGTGGACGCGGACTGAAGCCTTCTCGCAGGCTGCTACATCCGTTCGAGTGGCAACATGTTTCTAGAATATGAAAATGGAAGCAGAAGAAACCTTCAGCACGATGTCTCCCGAAGATGTAGTGCGATCGTCTCATCGCATTGGTCCTGCCAAACTGCCATCCCAAGCCAGCCAACTCAACTCACCTCGACAGCAAAGCCACAAGGTCCTGAATCGCAGCCACCGCCACAACTCGACTGACCCCACGTCGGCAACCGGCCTCAGCCTGCGCCGGGACACGTGACCGTCTCCAGCCTTCCACACCGACGGCAGACTGGCCCGTGCGCCAGCTTTTGCGAGCTCCAGAAAAATTTCCAATTGAACCCAGTGGGGGTGAGGAAAAATTGAAGAAAAAAAATCCGACCATCTCGAACATCTCGATTTCCTCTGTCTCGAGACGCCCAATTCCACCTCCCCTCCTCCGCCTCCACACCCCCCGCGAGCGAGGCTCTTTCCTGTCGGCATCGAACGACATTCAAACCACAAAAGAGTGCTTGAGACAGAACAGCAAAAATGGCCCAAGCCGTCAACTACCTCCTCTACGAGGCCCCCATGGGCTACGGCGTGTTCCACGTCGAGAACCAGCCCGACAGCATTGGCCTGCGCCAGAAGGAGGCCCAGGAGACCATCAATGACCTCGCCCGCTTCGGCAAGATGGTCAAGCTCGTCAACTTCACCCCCTTTGAGTACGGAACCCCCTTCGCGCGCGTGTAGCATCATGCTCTTTTTCCCCCACCGCGGCGCGTCTCGGTGGAGAGACAAGACTTCCAGAGAGACCCAAGAGGCTAACACACGTTTTCCCACCAACAGCACCGGCAAGCAAGCGCTGGACGAGATCAACCACATCTCCGAGGGTCTCATGTCCGTTCACCTCAAGTCCGTCCTCGAGCTCAACCTGCCCCAGACCTCTGGCAAGAAGTCCAAGGTCACCCTCGCCGTGGCCGAGAAGAACCTCGCGTCCGTGATCAAGTCCACCTTCCCCGGCGTCGACTGCGAAACCTCCGAGACCTCAGAGGTCGCCGGCGACCTCCTCCGCGGCGTCCGCCTGCACGCCGACAAGCTCCTCAAGGGCCTCCAGACCGGCGACTCCACCGCCGCCGGCCTCGGTCTCGGCCACTCCTACTCCCGCGCAAAGGTCAAGTTCAGCACCACCAAGAACGACAACCACGTCATCCAGGCCTCCGCCACCGTCGAGTTCCAGGACAAGGGCGTCAACCAGTTCTTCATGCGCGTCCGCGAGTGGTACGGCTGGCACTTCCCCGAGCTCGTCAAGATCGTCTCCGACAACCTCACCTACGCCAAGCTCGTCCTCCTCATCGGCGACAAGTCCACCCTCAACGACGACCGCCTCCACGACATCGCCGCCGTCGTCGAGGAGGACGGCGAGAAGGCCCAGGCCATCATCGACGCCGCAAAGGTCTCCATGGGTCTCGCCATCACCCCCGCCGACCTCGAGATCGTCAAGGGCTTCGCCGAGGCCGTCGTCCAGCAGGCCGAGGCCCGCCGCGCCACCGCAAACTACCTCGACAAGAAGATGTCCGTCGTCGCGCCCAACCTGCAGACCCTCATCGGCACCCCCGTCGCCGCCCGCCTCATCTCCCACGCGGGCTCGCTCACCGCGCTGTCAAAGTACCCGGCCTCGACGCTGCAGATCCTCGGCGCCGAGAAGGCCCTCTTCCGCGCCCTCAAGACCAAGAGCAACACCCCCAAGTACGGCCTCATCTACCACTCCAGCTTCATCGGCAAGGCCTCCGTCAAGAACAAGGGCCGCATCTCTCGCTACCTCGCCAACAAGTGCTCCATCGCCTCCCGCATCGACAACTACACCGAGAACCCCACCACCAAGTTCGGCGAGGCCCTGCGCCAGCAGGTCGAGGACCGTCTCGAGTTCTACGCCACCGGCAAGAAGCCCGCCAAGAACGCCGACGTGATGGTATGTTTTGTTTCCTTATCCTACAGCAGAATTGCAGCTAACCCAACCGCGCGTAGGCCTCCGTCCTCGAGCAGGTCGAAGGCGACCTCGACCTCGACGACGCGGAAATGGTCGACGCCGCCGCCGAGGAGGTCAAGAAGGAGAAGAAGGACAAGAAGGAAAAGTCCAAGGACAAGAAGGAGAAGAAGGAGAAGAAGCGCAAGCGCGACTCCGAGGTCGCCCCAGCCGTCGAAGAAGAGCCCGAAAAGGCCGACGGGGAAAAGAAGAAGAAGAAGAAGAAGAAGTCCAAGGACGAGTAAAGGAAGAGACGAATCGCCATCGCTGCCGCGCAAAATACCCCCTTTTTCTGCGCGCAATGGGTTTGCTCCAAGGAGGGTCTCTTCCCCAGATCCCTTGACGACATGTTCTACCAAAGAATCTTCCCATCTTTTCCTCCCCTAGGTCAACAAAAAGAAACCTCATGTTACAAAAAACTTACGGCGGCACATAGGTTTTTCCTCACGGCATTGGGACTTGGCTTCTTCTCCACCATCCTGTCTTCTCTCTTTTTTTTTCTTTCCTACCTTTTCTGTTTGGGAGTTATCAGGGCAATGAACATTGGGCTTGTCGGAGTTTGTTTAGGCTGCGCAGATGCGAAAAAGAGAAAGAGAAAAAAGGATGTTTAATGCATATATATGATGTATGTGTATGTGTAACACCAGATCTTTACCTGTTCCTGAACGCGCCGCGCCCTTTTGATGATGGTGTTTAAATCTGCTGTGAGTGTGAACAGTGGATGCTGTCTGTCTGATGAGCACCTCTATGTGTTGGTGGACTGAATAAGCCGAGGGACCTCTTATACCTCAATTACCATCTTGCAACTTTCAGATGTAAATACAGTGCCATGTTCAACATCCTAGTTAAGTGTATGTTGTGATTTGGAAAAGGTATGTAAAAAGGGGAGAGAAGCCCTCTCTCTCATCTGTCTTTGCTGGCTACCACTTTTTAACGCTTTACTTAAAGAATAGGGAAGCCTGCGATGCAGATATTTGGAAACAGAACAGAACAGAACAGTAGTAGTAAAAAACAATAATAGAATAAGTTTCCCCAACCCAATGCCGGCCGTTTACAGAACGCCAGAGGACGCCGATTTCTTTCCGCCCCTCGCCTGGTCCTGCTTGCCTGCCCCCTTGAACTGACGACAGCCACACATCACACACTATCTGCATCAATACCGAATTCCCGCCCCCGCCGCCCGTCGAGTCTGATATCCTCTGTGCCAGTCTCTTTTCTTTCTTTCAAAAACACGAGCATTGTCTTCTCGTCGAAGCGTTCACACTGTAGTCGTCTTTTTTCGTGTCCAGCTTCCACCCCCCTAATCCACGTGTAAAAGGCGTTTCGCTAGCTCATGCGCCCTCGCTGCCAAACTCGTTGGTCCACTCTATTTGCTTGGCCGCGTCGTCGTCGGAGACAGTGGGATGCGACTCCTTGAGAGCCTGCTTGAAGTCCTTGAGCTCGATGATGGGCGCCATGAGCTCCTCCGAGTCGACGTCGTGGTACGTCATCTCCTTGGCCTCGGGGTCGCCGGGGGAGCAAGGCGTGAGTTTCCTGACGCCGTCGACCATGACCTGTTATGCGAATTAGCAAAAGTTCCTCGCAAGCAATCTAGCGTATAGCGTCACAACAGCGTAAACATACCGGCTTGAAATGCGTCGCCTGGATAATCTTCCTCACGGGACCCATCAACGCCTGCTGCACCACGTTGGAGATATCACTGCCTGAGAAACCATCCGACATCTCCGCGAGTACGCGGTAGTCGTCCGCCTGCAGGTTCGTCTCCGTGTCGCCGATGGCGAGCTTGAACATCCTCGCGCGGCCATTGGCGTCAGGCAGGCCGATGTGCACGCGGCGCTGGAAACGTCTTCGGATCGCGGCGTCGAGCTGCCAGGGGATGTTGGTCGCGCCCAGCACCAGGATGCCCTTGCTGTCGTTTCCGACACCGTCCATCTGCACCAGCAGCTCCGTCTTGATACGCCTCGACGCCTCGGACTCGCCCTCGCCACGGGGCCCGCACAGGGCGTCGATCTCGTCGATGAAGAGGACCGAGGGCTTGTTTTCTCTCGCCATGCTAAACAGAGCCTTCACGAGCCTGTGATACCAGGTGTCAGTCGTGCCGTTGATGATTGCGATGCCACGAAGCAACTCACCTTTCACTCTCTCCCATCCACTTGCTCACCAGGTCCGAACTGCTCACGCTGAAGAAGGTACTGTTCGCCTCCGTCGCGACCGCCTTGGCCAAGTAACTCTTTCCCGTTCCCGGCGGGCCGTACAGCAGGATACCCTTCCACGCCTGGCGCTTGCCCTGAAACAGCGAGGGGAACTTGATGGGCAGCACAACAGCCTCCTTGAGCGTATCCTTGGCGCCCTCGAGACCGGCGACGTCGTCCCACCGCACGTTGGGGCGCTCCTGGAGGATGGCGCCACTGAGGGCGTTGCGCAGCTTCTTGTTGTCCTCGTCGCCCTCGTCGGCGTTCGCCTTGCCCTTGCCGCCGCCGTTAACGCCCATGGCACCAGGCTTCCCGCCGCCGCCTCCCCCGCTCTTCTTCTGCTCGGCCTCGGCCAGGTACGTCTTGAGCTTCTCGGCGCGGTCCATGTACTCGGCCGTCTTTTGGCGGATGAGCTCCTTCGACTTGGGGTTCTTCTCCCACTTGACGGCGAGGACGAAGAGCTCGAGGGACTTTGTGTAGAGCTGGAAGGCCTTCTCGTACTCGGCGGCGTTGTCGGCGTCGATGGCCTGCTTGACCGTGCTGATGGCACGGCCGAGGAAGTCGGTAATGCCCGACATGGTTGCGGTTCTGCGTCGGAGTCGCTGTCGTCGGCGGGATTGCGTGTTTCTGCGTTGGGCGGCGAGTTTGCGAGCGATTCGTGATAAGGATGCAAAGAGCGGGGAAGCTTGTTGCGTGCAGCCGCCGCGCTGTCTTGTTCCCGTTTGGAGGGGACGCTTCGCAGTCGGGATGGGGTTGGGTAGGTAGACGGGGTGGATGTTCGATTTGGCCCCGGGGGGAGGATTGCGTCGGCGCTTGGCACTGGCTTGTCGGGGTGCGGTTGAGGGATTGAGGACGCTGATGCGGGCGATTCTGTGACGTTGCCTGGGCGGTTCGTGATGCCAGACACTGACGCTAGAGGTGCCTTGTTGGCTGGTGGGGGTGGGGGCCTTGAGGTGTATAGGTGCATATACTGGATTAGATGATGGAGGCTGCTTAGTGCGATCTCCTTCTGAGGTGTTCTGTAGACAGCAGTCAGCTTAATGACTGGTTCCTGTTCAGGCATCAGGCAGATATTAGAAACCACTTAAAGAAAATTGAAATACGTTTCAAGAAAGCTAGACAACGACATGTTGGAGACTTGGTGTGTCTCTTTCCATGTTCCAGGCTCGCGGCCGCCGATACTCATAAACCGGGGCCATATGCATTTAAAGAGCATCACAGTCTGTCACCATCAAGTTCCCCAGCTCAGCAAACGGCAGCATCAAAGAAAGTACCAGGTATCGTCTTCAGACCACCAAACGAAACTCGAAACGGCGAAAACCTCTTGAGGCCTTGGCACCGCAGGACATCTGACATTCCACAAAGCATCCCAACTCGCGAACCACTGCGTCGGAAGGCCGTCGGGTTTCTCACCGCACCTCAGTCCGCACCAAACGGACTTTTTTCTCACTGAACCCCTCATACACACGCACACAACTCACCCACCATGGCTGAGGTTCAGGCCAAGCTGCAAAAGCTCTCTGAAGAGTACACTGCTCTCCAAAATGGTACATTTAGTTCAATCCCAGTATGATTACGGAGTTTTACTAATTGTCTGCAGAACTTCAGACCACCGTCCAGGCGCGGCAAAAACTCGAAGCTCAGAAGCAGGAGAACCTTGGCGTGAAAGAGGTGAGTACTCACCCTGCACCACCCACTTGCGGATGAACGCCAAGCTCATGCATTGTAGGAGTTCGACAACCTCAAGGACGGCGAGCAGATCTACAAGCTCGTCGGCCCCGTGCTGCTGAAGCAAGACAAGGTGGAGGCCGAGAGCACAGTCAAGGGTCGTCTGGATTTCATCACCAAGGAGATGTACGTGCATCACCACCTCACTTTATCTCGGACGGCATGTTTACTAACTCTCACAGCGAGAGGCACGAGGGCCAGATCAGGGACGTCCAGGGAAAGCTTGAGAAGAAGAAGGGCGACATCATCCAGCTGCAAACCAGCGCGCAGGCCGCCGCGGCGAAGAAATGATGCACGAATGACGGGAAAAAAGTCAGGTCTGGCATGAGTGGTGATACATATAACGACACATAAAACAAAAAAGCTACTAGGACTATGAATTATACCCAGCAATGCTCCGCTCCGATCACGAAGCTCCCAAGAACGCCTGGCTAATGCGCCCCTTTTTTCCCGATGATGGTCCCCGCCGATGAATGCCGACTCGGTCCCAAATCCATCCCCGGCTTGTCATGAAAAGAGACAAATGGTCATTACATCCCCCTTCTTTCCTCCTCAGTTCAATGCCATGATGGTGAAACCCCACGGCAAGCCCATATTCCTCGCCGGCAGCTCCGTGGCCCAGCCGATGGCGTTCTGATACTCGTCTTCGCTCACAAACTCGGCGTCGTTGACCTTGCCCTCGACGGCGTCCATGATGAGGTCCGCGATCTGGCTCTTGGTGTAGCACCGGCCGAAGATGCGGCTCTCCTCGATCTTGCGGATCATGGCGGCGCGCAGCTCGCACTCGGCGAAGCGCCGCACGTCGCGGTCGAAGGTGGCCTGCGTCACGGGGCCGTGCTCGTGGTGCGTGGCCAGCTTGCGGAAGAAGGCGACCATGCCGGCGACGGCCTGGGCGAGCATGTGCGCCTTGGTGACGTCGTCGATACCGTGGAGCATGGAGGAGTGGCCCTGCTCGATGAGCTGGTGGGCGTCGTGGTCAAAGGTAGCGTGCACAACGGCGGAGATGCTGGCGGGGTTTGTGATGATGGAGTCTGGGTCCTGGAGGGCGAAGGTCTTTGCGATCTCGTCGTAGCACTGGGAGAGGGTCGTCCACATGGAGACGTTGTTCTGGACGGAGGCCTGGCCCATGCTTAGGGTGAAGTGCGACATGGTGCTGTCGATGCTCTCTTGGGGGTTGTTAGTGGCGGATCATGTTGATTGGGGATGAGTAGCTGACTTTTGCAAATCGTGGAAGACATGATAGGTGGTGACTTGGTTGGTTGATTGGTGTGAGGTGATACTGAGTATACCACTTGGATAGGCATGGACACGCTTGATAGTTGATGATGAATGTTTACAATCACAAAATGATGATAATGTCTACAAAAACAACAGAGAAGGAAAACTTCTCCTTTAATGTAGTTGGCGTTGTCGCCTTGTGGCCTCATCGGGACGCTCATCTAGGTCCGGGATGGTCATGGTCCAGGTCCAGGTCCAGGCATGCGGGACGCGATGGCGCCTATCCCTGAATCTGGAAATCTGCCCAGGCCAGGGCGAACACAACAGAATGGCCAGGTCCGTCATCCGTAAATTATCGACTATTCATGCGGCAGTACCCAGTTTCGCGTGAGATGTCCGCGCTCACTCAAAGCAAGCAAGGCACTGGGTTAGCACGGCGGTGGTTCCCTCCACGCCCTCCACACTGCCCGCAAAAACATCAAGCCATCTCGCCGTCAGATTTGGCGGGATCGCAAGATGCGATAGCTGATAACCTGACGACTCGGCACCGCCACGCAACGTCCCTGAGACACTTGGCTGGTGGGAAAACCCCCCAAGCAACCACAGGGCGTGTCTCGAGACCTGACCGCCTGAGAAGGACCGTCTGTCCTCGCTCGACGGCGACCAGCGGGTGCCGGCGTGGGGGGGGGGGGGGGGTTGGGCGGCCTGTAGGCGACGTTGGACGAACCACGGAACAACAAGCGACAAGCTGCACGTCAAGCTGCCACGGGAAAGCAAGACCATCTGACCCTGTGCCTGTCCAACTCGTTCGAGCAGGCGGTGGGAGCATCCAAGCATGGTGCCACACTCAGACAGGCGTCAGACTCGAGCCGCAAGGGGATCAGTGCAGTGAAATCAGGAAGGGGTTGGACAGGCGGGATGGCCGGGCCGCCAGGGCAGCATTCGTTTTTTTGGCCGTCCATTTCCTGGCAATGTCACTGGATTGCGAAAATTACACCAGCCAGGGCGAGTTCCGAGAATTCCCGAGGCTTGGATATTTTTGTTGGGTGAGGCGAGCAGGCGAAGGACGACTCGTAAATCGAACGGAAATACGGACGGACGAGAATGACGTCTCTTCTCTCGGGGGCCCCAGTGCCACGCTGGTCGGAGCCGTCGAGGAGTTTTTCAAGTCCGCCGTGGCAACCAAGATTTGCGCCAAGAGCCAAGAAGGTGTCCAGATTGCAAAGGAGATGTCCGAGATGGTTCTTGACGGCGGATGTTGCTGTTGATGGGACTTGACAACGTCGAGGTGGAGCTCAGACATGCCCCGGGTGCTCCCGCCAACTGCACGCCCGCCGTTGACTGACCTTGGGCTGGTTTAGTTCACCTGGACTTCTTTTCGGTGAGCACACCTTACTTACATAAGTAGATATCTGAGGACGTCACGTGAATCCACAGCCAGCCACGTGACAAAGCAGGGGTCCGAGCTCTACCCCTCCATTGCCGGCGCGGTGCCCAGCACTGTGAGGTGAACCCTGTCGGCTGCCATGGCGGGGTGCTTCAACGCTCAGGTCCAGTGCTTCAGCCACCCGTGGCTCGCCTAGCGCTTCGTCATACGGTTCCTGGGACGAAACCCTTCAAGGCCTTGACCGAATGGTCGAGCATCTGCGACCTCAAGGCTGCCACTTTCTGGCTCCCGACCTACGAACAATGCAAACGACTACCTGAACGGTGTCCGTCACCAACAGCGACCCTGATACGACATCCGGCAATACCGCACCCCGCTCCCCGCGAGCTTCAACATCCATCCAAACATCCCCAACTTCGACCTCCGAGTACCTTCCCCCCCGACGAGAGACCGCCAAGATGAACGGACCCTCGAGCCCCCGGCCTGCGCGGCCCATGAGCATTAAGGAAATCACGAATGCAGCCGAGGACTTCGAATTTAGAACGACGATTCCCTTCAAATACTGGGCGCGCTCCGCAGACACGTTATTTCAAGAGGTCGGTACCCCTTCCCCGGCACCTGCGTGCGCGGCACTGACTAGGCACCCAAGGCGACGTTTGCGCTGCAGGATCGCGACATCCGGAAAGCATACCAGATGCTATGGCGCCACTCCGTCCTCGTCCTCAGTCATCTCAAGACCCATCCCGATGCGAAGCTTCCCGAGAACAAGGCGCTCACGAAGCCGCTCTTCAAACGGCAGCAGGAGGAGGTGTTTGGCCTGCTTGAGAGCCTCAAGCCGCAGATTGACCGCGACTACGATGAGTGGCAGCAGATGAATGCATCCCAGAAGAAGGCCGAACCCGAGAAGAGGCCCTCGAGCTACGACGAGTTTGCCGCACGAGACCCGACGCTGAGCGGAAATGCGAAGATTCTCGATGCCGCCGATAACCAAGAATTGGCCGTATCCCTGGCGCAAAGGGACTTCAAGAGAAGAGATGCTGCGAGAAAGGCCACCAGGCAGGCTGGCGTCAGCGAGGAGGAAGAGCAAGAACGCAGAAAGGGCGGCCGCTGGGAAGACTGGGAACAGTTTGGCAACCCGGCCGCGGCCGTAGCCACAGACGAGGACGAGATTCGCAGACAGATTGAGGCGACAAGGAGACGACTCGATGGTACCGATGGAGGTCGCCAGGAGGATACCAGAACATCAAGGGCACCCATACCACCGCCAAGGCCACCACCGCCCAGCTACTCATACCATTACCCGTCTATCTCGAGACCGAGGGCGGTCGAGTGGGACTCTGCGCCGTTGGAGCCCAAGCGAACCTTCACTCCCTCATTACCACAGCCTCCCAAGCCGCCAAAGGAGGACTTCACGATACTGCGCCAAGAGCTCGATGCCGCGCCCCCGTCACGTCCTGGCAAGGAACCTCTCCTATCATACATCCCGCCGCCTACCCCTGATTCGGTACATAGGGACGTACCTGAACTTCCCGCAAAGGAGGAGATTATGCCGCCGCCGTCAGCAAAGGAGCGTCTTACTTTCCGTCCAGCAGCGTACCTGGAGAATGGCGATCCGATCCGCCCGGTCTTCCTGCCCACCCAGCTCCGGGAGGCTTTCCTGAACATTGCGGCGGACAACACCCGAAAGGGCCTCGAGATGTGTGGCATCTTGTGTGGCCGGCCTGTTAACAACGCGCTCTTTATCAACTGCCTCCTCATTCCTCAGCAAAAGAGCACGCCAGACACCTGCGAGACGGAGAACGAGTCGGCCATGCTGGACTACTGTATCAACGAGGACCTGCTGATGGTCGGCTGGATCCACACGCACCCCACGCAGACGTGCTTCATGAGTTCGAGAGACCTGCATACCCAGGCGGGATACCAGGTCATGATGCCGGAGAGTATCGCCATCGTGTGCTCTCCGAGACACCAGCCATCGTATGCGATCTCTCCGCTGCCACCTGAATCTGAGCTAACATGACTGCAGATATGGCATCTTCCGCCTCACCAACCCACCTGGTCTCACTCATATCCTCCAGTGCACCCAGACCCAGACTTTCCACCAGCACTCCATCGACGACCTGTACACGACTGCTAGTAACCCGCCGGGTCACGTCTACCATTCCGACAAGCTCGACTTTTATGTGAAGGACCTGCGGCCGAACCGGTAGGAGTCGGAAACTCGGCAGGAGGGCAATTCATCGCGCAAGCGCAAAGCAACTCATGAGCCATCGCGTAAGCGGTCCACGAGGAGAATATGGGAGGACATTGAGGACGATTTTCCCTGATCAGGGATGGTTGGGCCAGTAGATTCGGCTTGGCCGAGATGATTGGCTGCTGCGGACGGAGAATGGACTGCTTGTCCGTCACTTTTGCTTGTTGCATGGCGAGGGCGTTCAACGGCTTGCGGCTGGACGCTCAGCGGGCGTCTGCTACTCAACTGGAATGATGGGAACGCCGGGACGGAACATTAGCACGTAGAACTCATCATGACATGGGAACTAATGGTAACCACTCACCGTGGATTTTGGTGAACCATGATTCAAATGTCTGCTGTTATCAAATTTCTGCGAAGTATTAACTTAACGTTGGACTCCAGCCTTCCCATCTATGTATTATTTTGGCTATCTGGAACACTTCATTGCCCGTGCTCTGAAGCTCCCACCGCCGTTGCCATATGTATATATATCAAGTCAGCGGCGTCTGCTTCTGTGAAGATCGACCAGCAATTAAGGGCTCGGGGATTTGACTGTGAGCTGTTGACTTTATTTTGTGACATCAAGCTTGTTAATAAAGGGCTCACGGCGGAAGGTGCTGGGTATACAGCAGTCCAAGTTGCGGGCTTAGCCTGCACTATAATCGCGGGTGAATAAGAGAGGTATACCTGGGAAACGAAGATGAGAGAGGAGGGGTGTACTAATTGTCTTACACATCAAAAACTCCGGAAGCATCGTGCGCGGAGGCGTCTGCGGTAGATTCAGGTGACCAAGATACACGAGGAAGCTAGCCTCGTCTCCCGGCGTCGATTTCTTCGTGTCTTGCCGAACGACTCTCTGCTAGGCGCCAAACAAAATACTTTTATACCAGAGTTTGGCCATTGAGGCGGTGAGAGCAAACGCCATATCTAAGGTAGAGGAACTTGGCGACGCATAAAACAGCCTTAGGCGCCATGTGTCAAGGTCGCCAATAATCTTGTCTGCGTCCATATTTAATGCAGTTGGTGTTGTGCAGATTTACGAATCGGAGGCAAGCCTTCACGAGTCCTTGACAGACTGAAGATATGTTTTCATCTCAATGGTGTGAATAATGCCCGAAATTCGCAGTGGAAGGAATATGTAGGGGATGGTTAAGGACTACGGGAATGAGAGACCCCGAACTTCATCATAGGTATATCAGGACCTTTCCGGGTGGCTGAGTGGCCAGCCATCTGGCCGGCCAAACTTCTTGTTATCTGATAAGTGCCGGCAAAAAAAATCGAATTTGGCACAAAAGCTCAATCAAGCATCCGATTTGAAGGATTGAAGACATTTGCGCGACATGGATGGACTTATATACTTGTCGTTCAGGGCTTTTGGACACCTCAATGCTAGAACCACCCGGGAGCACATTCTGCAATTAACACAGCACAACGTCGTGAGAGACAAAAGAGTGGTATAAAAACCACATCCGATCGGCAAAAATTCATCATAATAGCAGAAACTTGGCCACATAGACTGCCTTACCAATAGGGTGGTTGGACGTTGGGTTGTCCTTGGGGGACGTGTACCTGTGTTCAAACGATGGTCTTTTGCTCGACCATCTTGATAGGGTTTGTTGAAAGCTATCTTCCATCATAAAACCACCAGCTTCAAACAAGACATGAATGACAAGACTAGAATCAACCAAGAGAGGAGACGAAAGACAAGAGAAATGAATGGAGTTATGGTGACTTTTCGCAGACCCAGCCCAGTGTATGCAGACATAGTTGACCTTCGCGTGGTAACCGCTGAGAAACGAACGATTCAACCGAGAAGCTGAAGTTCGGTGGATTGGCGGACCTTGTTCACGAGATGGTTCTTGATGAACAGTTGCGTTTTGCTGAGTAGATGTTTGCTGCGGTGTTGAGTCTTGTCGAGAGTCTGAGGGCTCTTCGGAAAGTAAGCTGTGTCGAACTTCCGAATCTTGAAGAGAAGACTCTTCTGAGCTCTCTGTTCTCGTGGAAGCTGCTTGATTTCCTGAAGGTATTCCATCCTGTGGACTTGGCTCAGTTGGAAGAAGATCGTACTTGGCAAAAGCTGGGATGATGAGCGTGTAAGCCTCTTCGACGTTTTCCGCCAGACCTTCCACAACAACCTCGCTTGCAATGGCCTTGAATACGGAATTTTTTAACTGCCTTGACTTGCGTCCTTTATGAGGAAATCTTGAACTGGTATGACCATTGACCTTCTCCACACGCGACGCAACCGAAAGCACGATTAGTGAGAATAGTTCCTGTGCGTATTGAACAGCACATGTATGACTGTGGGTGTGCCTGAGTAAAAGTTCGTATTGTTGCTCGGAAGAGTTATCTCCGGAGCTTGCACTGCAAATGAACATCGTTAAGACCACGAAAAAGACGGCAAGACCTGAAAAACTCACTCTGAAAACGACGACAGAAACATTCCCAAAAAGGACTCCTGAGCCAACACTCCATCTTGCGTGTTGAATATCTGATCTCGCGCTACTTGAGAGACGTCCTGATACCCTACCAGCCATTCCTGATTCTCCCACAACAACCATGCTTGGTCAATACCTGTAATTGTGTTTGAAAATGCATCTCGGCGAGGCAAATGCAACGTCAATGAGGGTTGTTGAAGGTAATGCCATGCGCGAGACGCGAGCTGAGTAGGCCTAAATCTGTCTCTGATCGCGTTGGAACGCTCTTCAAGAACGTTACTTTGCAGCTCGGACACTTTCTTCTCCTCAGTTACCAAAAAAAGAGTGAGCCAGGATATTTCAAAGCCTTTCAAAGTTGGAATCGTGTATGGATCTGCGGCGAGACCTCTCCTGACCCAGGCTCGCACTGCCGACATAATGACAGTCACACCGAGCTGGATTATTGTGGCAGACCAGTGAAGCGCTCGAAGCCCTACAAATTGAAGAATGTAGCCAGAGACGGCCAAACAAGTCGAAGTAACGACCAAAAGCCTGTGGAAGATCGACGGATCAGTCCAAGTACCTTGTCTAAATGTCACAGCCAAACATACCTGCGACTTTCATTGATTAACCGAGAGATTTTCAGAACGTTGTTATTCTTCGTGTGAAAGATGACATAAGGAGGAAAATGCTGGTCGCCGATGCTCCGGTCTTGTTGTAGAACCATGAACCTGAAGCCACTATCTAATCCCTTTTGCGTAATAGCGAAGTCTCTTTCCTCAGTGGCTCCTTCAATGATATGACCGCATATCACTATGCCTGCTGTAAGGCATACAGTCCCTAGAACAAAGCAGGGATAACCATAATCGATTGCTTCAGACTTTCTCCAGTTCCAGTGGTATGAGGCAATTCCTGGAAAGGCAACCGCAAGAAGTTGGAGTATAAGCCCCAGCCCAGCCAGCAACCATAACTCAAGCGACGAGACAGTGGCGTTTCCCGCGTTGAGAGCGAGATTCGGGGCTGCATTAGAGAGATTCTTGAGTTCTTCAAAGAGTGCCCGATGTTCATGTTTTAAACGTGGGTTTCGGGGATTCTCAGGAGCTTTTCGAAGTGATCTTGGGACAAGCTCGATATGAACACGCATCGAGGCTTCCGAAAGACTGAGCAAATTACCATTCTTGTTGATTAGCAATGTACTCATCCCTTCTGAGTCTCCAATAAGGCGCACGACTTGCTGGCCACTCCACAGTTCGCAAACACTTTCTGAAGTCGAAGAAAGAAGTCCCTGTTCCGCAATTGAACGACTTTCTCGTGCCCTGTAAGCCGTCAGTTAAGGATCTTCAAATTTGAGCTCTTGACTTACCGTCCAATCAGAGCCTTGAGACGCTTACCTCCTCCAACTCGAATTGCGCTCACGATGATTGTGATGATACCCAATGGTCCCATGGCTAATAGGAAGTTGTCTGACCAGCCCATGCTCATGCTAAGGAATTGTTTTGTGACCTGCTCTCCAAAAAGAGTAAGCAGTGGCGCCAGGTCACTGAAAAGATTGTTGGAAAAGTCGTCGCCCTCGAATTCGTTTGACCGAGCCATTGCAGAAGTGAAGCAGCGCTATTGATGACTAGAAGAAGTGGGACAATTGGCCTCTCACCCTCTAATCTGAGGGATTTAGTCCAGTCTTGTACTTTTTGGTGTGGCTCAGCTGCAGCCTGATTGCCTTTCATCCTTGGCTGACGGCGCGATAACTCGGTTAGCTCCTGTTACACCACAGATGCTGCGCCGAAGTCATCTTCGGGAGGAGGGGAAAGCAGGCTGAGAAGCTCGCCAATTGGGAAGGAATGTTCTCATAGTAAAGACTTTCAACATACATAGGCCTATCCAGGCCTTCCGAAATGACCAGTGTATGACCATTGCTTTAAAAGCGATTGATAAAGTTTCCAGATGTGAATACAATCTAGCTGGATAAGTCCTGAACCTCCATTGGTTATTGTCTACCTCCCATAGGGGTGTGAAGTTCTTGCGCTCTTTTTGCTTTTGTGCTCGAATCTGTGCGACCCTTCCGATCACTGCCGTCATTGAAGACTCCAATCATAGGTAGAACATGGTAACTGGATAGTGTGATAAAAAAGGTTGGCAGGGGAAAAGAGAAGAACATCGCAACTGGGTAACAGCATCTCTTTAAGCATGTTGAGGAAGTTTTGAGCCCATCCAGTAGGGGGTTCCACAGTAAGAGAAAAAGCAGTAAATGTAGCTCGGTCAGTACCCAGTCCCGTAGCTTCTCAGTATACGTACCTAAGGGTCCGGAACATCTCTTTAAGCCTACCTCGATTTCAGTACCCAGAATGAAGAATCGTGACATGATGCGAGGGACTTTGGCAGTCCCGACACGGAAAGTATGCAGCGGAAACACAGCCTGTCTGCATCCCGCACCACATAAAATATGACAAGAGATTCGAGAACAACGACAGAATCAATTAGTAGGCAGAAAAGTTAGTGCAGCAAAGTGTTTGTCTAAAAAGTTGGTATAGTCATGAGCAAACCCTTTTTCGAAAAGTCATAATCAATGGGAATGACATGTACTCAAAGCTGCTAAATATGACGGAAAACCATTAGTGTTCCTCCACATGACCTCATGAAGAGTCGTGTCTAAGTGACCATCGTGCTGTCAGGCGTGGAACATTGTTGTCCTTTTCAGCGGGGAACCCAGTGCAATATTAGTTGACAGATGTACGTTTATCTGACACATGATGTGCCCATGAATTTCTCTATAGACCACATCAAGGTTTCGCAAGGCGATCGATGCGAGATCCCAAAAGCCAGAGCGCGTCCTGCGTTGTCCATCCCATCATGGGAAGAATGTGGTGACCAAGGCCAGCTGAAGTCGCGTTCTAGACCATGACGTCACTACCGCGGCCCCCCAAGCCGTACACGTTTCCCTGCATGTGCTCTTCCTCAATTCTTCCTTAAAACCAACAACTTCTCGCAGAGAGATAATCGGCAGTTTTATATCCTATTTCAGCAACTTTGAGAACAAAACCACTTCGGAAACACCATCGAAGTTTGCGCGCAGCTCGAAACCAACCCCAACACCAAGACCACCGACAACGAACATCCTTGTCCAAAGCCATGGCTTTCCCCACGAACGTCCTGGGCATCCTCATCGCCTTGATTAGCGGATTTGCACTCGTGCACTCGGCGGACTCGATTCCGAGACTACTCAAGTACGAAGAGAAGGCGAAGAAGGCGGCTGAATGGAGTAGGACCGCAGAGAAACAATTGTGGGAAATCCGGTACACCGTCGGCACCGGCTTCGTGGGAGTACGTTCACGCTTCCCAACTTTCATCGAGACATCGAGATTTGAAATTAAATCGGAGCTGACATATGCAAAAAGTGCCTGCTGTCAGGCCTCAGCGGCCTGGCCTTCTCACTGGTGGTCCCTCGCGGCGTGGGCGTCTTCACTGTCGGCTGGCCGATCATGCTTGCCGCTGGTCTGACGTACGGACACCAGTACATGCGAAACTTCTGGATTTCCAAGCCCAAGGTTCCAATGATGACGGACTTCAACGAGGCCATCTCTGACTCGATGATGGTACAGGATCTTCTGAATCCTTTGGCTGGAGCTTGGGGACTTGTGGCGTTTTGTAAGCTTGTGGGATTGTAAATGATTTGCCTTGTGCATTCCGGCATCACAACTGGCGAGGGAGTTGCAAAAACATGACTCGAGTACATAGTTCTTGATGCCACTCACAGGGTGGCAACCCTCTTCATGTAGACCCATTCATACTTTCCCCATGAGTCTGCGCTTCCTGTGATCTTCTCGTACCTCTCACCAGGCTTGTTACCCTCGGCGTAGACATCCAGGTTAGCCTCCAGTCTGCCGACCTCTCTAAAACCGTACTTCTCGTATGCCGGCACCCCACCCATCGAAGATTGAACCCAGCAGTAAGTTCCCTCCTGATCTACCTTCTCCGTGCCCCAGCGTATGAGGCGTGACCCAATTCCTTTCCCTTGAAAGTCCGGATGGACTACGCAGCTGATCACAATCCGGCACCGGCAGCCTTCCGGTTGCAGCCTGTTGACCCAGTATTGCATAGATTCGTTACCGAGATCTTCAAGATCCTTGATTGTCGGAGGCTTGGCCGGATCAATGGTATCGGCCGAGATAGCCTGCGGTTCTTCGGCGGGGCCGGTGAGGGATAGGTCCGTATCCCCCGCGAAGCCCCTCCGAGCTCATCCAACCCATCCGACCGGCTTGCCCGAGATCTCGGCAACTAGGAGATCCACCTTCGGCGACTGTAGCCACCCTTTCAAGCCCTCGCCCATGCCATCTTTAAATGAGGAGTCGCCGTGAAAGACAGCTTTGAGTTGAGTGTGTGAATCCGTCTGAAATGCCGCATCAGCGATGGCAGCGAGGGTATCCACATCATCGACTGTCGCATGACGGAGGTTGACGTCGGGACGGGGCGGAATGACAGACGAGGGAGCCATGACTCTGTTGACTTGGCGGTGATGGGGCTGAGAATGTGGCCGACTTGGCACGGGAACTGTTCCAGCTTTTCACGGTGAGATTTGGTCGTATATGTAAGACGGTATCCGGTTAAAATCGATTACTTTGACCGGGAACCGGCAGACCGACCTGCATCGGCAGGAAGCCCGCTAGTCCCGACACGGAGCTGACAGGGGAGAAATGCTGCTAATTCATCACCGGATGACTCCTCACCGGACTCTCACGATAACGGCCTATCCGAGATCCAATCTCGCCAAATCTCCCAAATCCAGTGCCACAGTTTTCAATAGATCTGACTCTGCCGTCATCGCAATGAGAATACTGCGAAGAAAAAAGTTAGAAGGGAAGAAAGACTCCTCTAGACAGATACCAATGTGGAGAAAAGTGCCTCGTATGACAGTGAGATTTAAAGTATCTCGATGAAGTCTCAAGTTCCTAATAGCACCAGATACGATATAAATTCTCAGGCAGTAATAGAAATGCACGAGAAAGCAATGGGCATTGTAGTCTCTCAAGACACTTACTGAGAGTCTGAGACCACCATCAACAACGGCCACATAACGACCACGGAGGAATTCGACGCAGAATCAACCGAGCAAAAACAATCAAAGACACTGCAGATGTAAATTAAACTATCCATACAAGTGGATGATGACATGCTGGGAGGCGCTGTGGAACAAATCGCTTATGAACCTCTCAGGACCAAGCAACCAAGCAGTCAGCCACTTGATTTGTAAAACTCCGCCATCAAGATTCTGTGGAACTCACGACCCTAGTGAATATTTCAATAAACTCACTTCAAGTCAACAGCGAGGCCCTAAAATGAGCGCTGACTGTTGACGGAGTTCCTGGCCTCATCGACTGTCAGGCGATACGAGGCCATTGCATCATGCTGCAACAAAACGTCAAATACAAGCTTCTAGACCAACGATGATGTCTTAAACCCGTATTCGTTCAACTGAGTTGCATTCTACAACTACAAGTGCGACGAGCTCGTGTAAGTGCGGGCGATCGTATCGCCGCCACCGGCTATTGCCTGAGTCAATCGATAGGAGCCGATCCTGGCGATCGCCGAAGCTACGCCTGTCATTCGAGATCACGTTAGTGAGCCTTTTCAGTGGGGACATCCTTCAAGTGTCTGTCACAAAGTCAGGGGCCGCGAGTAGGAGCAATGTCACAGGTAAGTCCGACAGAGTCCGCCTCGGCTATTGTACGGGCGCACGACTAAGCGTCCGGGAACGTCTGCATGCCATGGATGCTGGACGAGTATGATCGAGAATGCTTTGGAACTGTCACGAATCTGGGAAAACACCACAAAAAGTGTTTCCTGTGTCAAAATACATCGCATTGTGAGTGCGTTAGTGCTCATTGCTTGTAGCAAATCCAAAGTCACCTGGGCATTTCCAGTCTCACAGGTCACATGCGCATACCCATAAGGGGCATCGAAAATTTCTTTTCTGCTTCATTTAATGCGCATAGGTCAATATGAAGCCTCCTGGTTATCCTTTCTCTAGCTGTGTCGGTCGAAACCATTCCGATCCTCAAGCTGAAAAGTCTTGACACAGTGGCAATCACGAAAGCAGTAATGACTCTAAATAAAAGTCTTCGCCAGTCACCACAACGTCCACATACTAGTGCAAACATGATACTCCAGATGATGAAATTTTGAGGTATCGCGACTTATCGGTAACCGTTGCCGATTGCGCTCGGCCGTTCGTGATGAGGCGAACTAGTCCAGACGACAATGGCACGAATATCAACACTGGCAAACATGCGGCCAGCGCTCCCTCCAGACCGTTTTCTCGACGCTGCACGGGTCTTCGAGAAACTGCTTGAAGCCACGTTCGGCATCATATTCCGTAAGGAGAAAACTGAAGCAACGGAGAATGCAACCCCTTTAGCAGCCTGAAAGCTTAAAGTGACAGTTTTCCTGCTGAACTGACGTTGAAATATGGACAATTACGTTGGCAATGCGGGTAATCTAAGGAAAAGATCTGCAATTAGGGGGGGAGAATCGCTGCCATGGCCCATCGGCTTCGTCCCGCGATCAATACGGGTACGAACACGCAGTCCAGCCAACAGGTTCTGTTCTACAACATTCGACGATGGCAGTCCAGCCTAACCCAGCCTATCGACCGTTACCTCTGCCGAACAAAGCTTGGACAACTCACTTTTGACTGCAGCGCAAGGCGAGGCCTCCCCAGTCGGAGCGACAATCCGAACAGTTCATTGGTCGTTATGCATCGCTCGGCGCGAGGGGGCATGACGTTAGTTTCTCATGAAATGCCCGTTGCGGTAAGACTCTCGCAGGTGCAGCAGGCCACCCCCCTGCAACTCTCCGACAACACAACAATATCGCAGCCGGCAAGATCTAGACCCTTGCCTGCGAAAGCCTCAATTGTCGGCAGGGACCGTTGGGCGACCGTTGTAGTCCAACAGCCTTCATCCCAGCGTTTCATCCCAATGCGCTGCTGTCGGGACGGTGAATGACGTACTGACAGGTGCCCCGATCGAAGGTTTCTCGATGTCCGTCGGAGGCATATTAAGGAGGAGCCGGGCCCAAGTCACAAGGCTTTGGGGAGGCAGGCTTCAAAGCTTTTGTGGCACATAACTCTACAGCCAAGGCTCCTGTCTAATGTTAGCTTAAAGACAAACGACCTCAACACCATCATCTCTCGCACGACTATCAACAACCTTTCAAAATGCTCGGAATCGGTGGTAGGATATCCGCCATCGTGCCAATTCTGGCTTCGGCTGTGGCCGTCGCTCTCTCAATTGTTCTTTTGGCTGCTGGGAACAGCACAAGCAGCGGCAACTCCAATTACTGGCTTTCGGTTAGTGTGTCCGGAACGCGGATGAAGATGTTCTAGCTAACCACGTGGATTTACAGCTGAACACATCGAAAATTGGCCAACAACTCATCACAGTGCAGGCGGCGAACACTTCGAATGGAAATGGAAATGGCGGCGGCGGTGGTGGTGGTGGAGGTATTAGCATCCCGGGGCTTCCCACCCCTACCATTCCTGGTATCACCTCGCCGAGCGGCGGTGTTAACGATCCCACGGGCATTACTAGCGGCTTGAACGGCATTCTAGGAGGACTTCTCGGAAACTTGACCAACCAACTAGGCAGCGGCATCCAGGATGTTGAGGGGCAGCTGATGGGCAACCTGACGCAGGCGTTGGGTGTCAAGGACACCTACAACCTTTTCCTGACGAAGATGTGCGAGGGCGACTACGCCAACGAGAATGATCCCAACACCAAGACCAACATCAAGTCCTGCTTCAGTTATGATGACAAGGGACAAGGTAAGAACACTTTAACACTGATGAGCATGATCATCGGCTAAGACAATGTCCAGGTCTCCGCAACATTACAGATTCGATTCCGTCTTCATTCGTCATTGCTACAGCCAATGTTTCAGTTCCTCTAATTTCGGCGATGAGAGGCACGATCGATCAGGTGGTATCACTTGCTAGCACGGGAGCAAAATTGTTGACGGCTCTGCTGGCTATTGGTACCATCTGCACAGGAATCGTGTTACTTGCCACGCTGCCAATTATCATCGTTGGCTTCATGCGTGTGCTTGTTCTGACCTCCCTAGTCTTCTCCTTGCTGGGCGCTACAGTTCTACCACTCTTCGCCATCATCACGACCGGCATTGTCGTGGGTGGCAAGAAGATGCTCGAAAAGGAGGGCAGCGCTTTTGGCATCCAGATCAGGCAAGGAGGACCTTTCATTGCCATGGCCTGGGTTGCAGCTGTTGCATCGATGGCAGCGTCAACTTACTGGTTCATGATCTGGTTCGTCAGCTTCAGGCGAACGGCGTTCAGCCGCCGCAAGCGTACCGAGACTGAGATCGGAAACTGGAGGGGTATTTTCCGCGAGGTCAAGGGTGACTTGAAGACCTGGGAGGGTGGTGAGAAATAAGGTGGTTATGCGTCTACATCTATGATCATTAAATTTGCGCGGGTTTGAACAGCAAAGCGACTGTACATACGGGATCACTCGATGGAAATATGGTTGAACAGCACATATTCAGTAGGGCTGATGATTATGCTTAGCACAGTCTTGGTAAATAGTAATTGTTAAATTTCGATGCATCACAGTGGTTACCGTTTTCTGCCGCACGCTCCCTGCAAAGTACATGCTGAACTTTACGTGGTCAACGGTCACACATGCTTGGGTTCTCGTCGCCCCCACGCGGCGCTAGGGTATGTGCAGACGGCGCTCAGCCAAGTGCATGGACAGGACGTGCTGATATGGTCTGAGACCACGGCGAGAAAGTATCGGCTCTCGAAATTCGATGCAAGCCTGAGCTTACTTGAAGAGCTTTCGCCGGTATCTTCTCATAAGAGTCTAGGTTTGGCGCAGGATTGTAGAATGATTCTGGCTTCACGGTGAAAGCTTGCTGCTTGCCCCTTTTTACGTGTGTGAAGTTGAGGAGACGAACATCATGCGACATCCGCGGGAACCGACATTCTCGTTCGCCTCGGTCCCAAGTCACTACTGTATGCATAATCCAAGGCAGCATGGCCTTTGCCGATGAAAAGCCCTGCATCTACTACCCTGCAGGGTTGCGCCTGACCGACACAGGATGAAGCTTGCAAAACATGTGATCTCTCTCCTGCAGACTCCACATTCGCTGTCAGAGTTTCGACATCCGTGACCATATGAGAGGGGCTTCGAGTTCCAAGTGCAGAAGCTACGGTCTGGTGGCAACGTAAGGGAAAAGAAGTCTTTGAAGAATTGGTCTCATTTTGAGAGAGAATTGTAAACAGACATGGCGATTTGGAGAAAACTGTGCAAGGGGAGCCCCGGGATCCCACGTAGTGAGATGCTTTGGCCAGGGATCAGGCCTCCTCGATACCAAGGCTGGAAAGATGCTTTTTGGTCTGAAAATATTCGGAGGACCGCACATCTGCCCGCAGAACCGACGATACGGTGCTGTTCTCAATGGCTTTCCGCTTGATCACAGCACGGCGAGTCCAACCTATTGCAACACAAAACCGATTTTTAAGAATGATGTTTGTGAGCAACTTATATGTTCGAAATAATTTGATCGATTCCATTGGATCACAAACCGGCCTGCATGGTCCGAATTCATCCTAAGGCCAATCGACGGAGTTTAGTTGGTGTGACACGGCCCGCAGCCGATTGGCTACGGATTCACCACCAAAATACTTTGCCACGTCCATCCTGTGGCACATGCCATGCGGGGAATCAGCCAGTCAGCAGAGACTATTACGAATTCTGCCCAATTACCAAAAGGCCCAATGCAGTCTCCCATGTATCGCAGGTGTAGACGCGAATTTGAGCCACTTGAGTGGGATATCACATCATTCGGGCGATGAGCGGTGAGGCTGACTGCAGGTGAAATGTGAAGAAGGTGGCTTCATAAATCCCGTCCCCACTTGGCTTAAGTTAGTCGTAATGTCTCCTTGCACTCAGCTTCCTCAACTCACGATCGCGTTCCTCAAGCCTCCATGATGTCTGAGAAGACACCAAACTTATCATCTCTGCCACCAGAGTTGCATCTTGTCATACTCCAAGAGCTTGCCAATCTATGCAATGAAGACTACGCAGCAAGACCTGGAATGGGCGCTTACGCCAGTGTCTGCAAAAGCTGGCAGATGTTTTTCGAACCGCTAGTCTTCAAACACTTCACCCTCGCCCGAGAAGATTTATCCGAATTTAGACAAGTCACGCAAGACAACAGGAGACGGAGTCTGGTCCGACATATTTGGCTCAGACTCGAAGAGCCGTCGGCGCTCCAACATTCAGAGCTGGGTCTAGAACAATACAAATGGAGCCAACCGTACTTCACCGACATCATTTGGAACCTGTGGACAACCATATCCCAATGGAAGGTTGCAGACCTGGCGGAGTTTGGTGGCCAACAGGGCTTGACGCTCGAACTCTCTTCTCACAAGTACTTTCCGACGCAGGAGGATACATTCATCCCGCGAGAGGATTACAGGGCGTACTCCCAGTCTCTTGGCAACGATTTATCTGCAGCTTACAAAACAGTAAGCAAGTTCTACTTCAACGGCCCCCTTTATGGCTGGGATCTCAGTACAAAAGCCAAGAGGGACTTGTTCTGCAAAGGGGTCAGAGTCGACAGCAAACCTCTTCCCCAGGTGGAGGTTGTGACTGGGTTCTTCACCAGAAGAGCATACACGCAGAATGTTCGACCCGAGGTTCTGTTCTTGATATTCGACAGTCTTCCTAGGGCGAGAGACATCAGAATTGAACGGTGGCGACATGGACTAGTAGCCTGCGAGAATGAGTGGCGGAATGGTAAGTTGTAACTGCAACTCCAGAAAAACTCTTTGCATCGACCTTGCTAAAGACGGCCACTTATTTCAGGAATGCAAATTGATCTTCCACATCATATTCCCGCTTCCTTAGAAAAGTTGGCTATCTTTGAAGAGAAAGGGCCCCGGAATGGCCGATTCAATTTGATACCAAACGACAAGTTGACCGAGGCTGTCATTTTGAGCACCCTTCATCTCAAGCATCTGTTTCTATGTTTCTTCATTAACGGAGATGACTTTTTCGAGAAACTCTCAAGGTCTGACATGACGCAGCACGTTTCTGGAAAAGGGTATCAGGAACTCACTTCACTAACCCTGACTTCTCTCCGGCTGAAAGCCAAGTTTGACGAAAATTGGGACATGCTGACATGGCGCGGTGGAGTAGTCGAGTTGCTTCAGATGGCTGCTACAGCGACGAAACTCATGCCAAAACTGCGATTGATGGAAATCTGGAATGGCGGTGCTGAAAATGTCAGCGTCTTTCGATATGAAGTCAACAACGACAACAAGGGTCAAATCAGCTGGCAGAGCACACAGAATTGCGATCCGTTTGAGCAAGAGGTCATTGAGGCTTGGGAAAAGGTTGCTCGGGATCATGGACTGAGTGGACTGATGATTCGCCCGTCGACACTTCTATCGGGAGATTTTACGTATTACGGCTCGATCATTCCTTTATTGAGATCGGAGAAAGAGGTGGCACATCCGTTATCGGTAGCACAAATGAGATGAGAAAAGAAGGGCGTGGAACCTGGAGCCTGAGATTTATGGCGACGGTGTTGGCGTTTTCACCATATTGCCCATGAGACAAGCATCGCTGGCGCCAATCAGATGCCTTACATATGACCTCTTGGTAATGGGATTTAGCAAGCGTAATCGAAGAGTTCAGCTCAATCTGCCTCGTGAAACCTCACTTACGCCGACGTGGCGTGGTATTGTCGACTTGCCAAGATAACGAGTCCTGGGTTGGTATCCAGGGTCGTGCCCAATTTGCCGCCTCAGTTTCATGTGTTGTTCGTACAGACGCCATGTATGTACCATTTTATTGGGACAAGAGTAAGCATCGCGAAGCAGCCCTATCGGAAATGTGTCTTGGAAGCCCCCGGTCTCATTTGTTGCCGAGCTCGTTTGAAGCTGCCTTGTGGTCGGTGGAGGCTGTGCAGAAAAGCATCAAGACGAATAAACGGAAGCCTGAAGAAACTCATTGAGCTGTGCGATAACGATAAGTCATAAGTATATAAACTGGAATGTGATCCAGTGGAGAGCCCATTTAGATCACAAGTCAACGATCTAGGTTTCGCTGACTGGAGTTGCCTATCGCAGAAATCATGACAGCCAACGCTTGCCCAATCGCCAATTTGTGCAATAATTGCTCTGTCCTCAGATTTGACGATGAACAGCTTTTGGGGCCTCACTTCCTCGAAAATGAGCCTGTCCGGCTACCGATCGACTATGAAGTCACCGACCGGGGGCCTGACTTTCTCTATCTGGAACAGACCGCACAGAACGGTTGCGAATTTTGCATCCTTCTTCGTCAAGTCCTGACTGAAGAACTACAAGATCTTGGTCTTTCAACTCAACGAATACGGCTTTACTATCACTGGAGACATGACGGTCCTTTCCTTTCCGGATTCGGACTGTCGTTTCTCTCTGCCGAGGTTATCTCTTGGCAAGGCCATCATTCTTCATATCGCGCAGCCATCGCCGATAGTGTGCCAGCGCCGAAAGTGAGACAATTTGTCTTTGAAGTCGAGACGAACCATCGTAAGTGTGGGCTATGGTGAAACCAAATTGTTTCAGAGTATAAGAGCGTGGCTAACGAATATCATCGCAGATGGCGTCAGAGATTTGCTCAAAACCCCATCGTTGCGGCAGAGGGAAACACTTGGCGATGAGAACATCGAATTCATTAGCAGAGCTATACGTACCTGTATCAGTTCATGTCAACACCGAGTGGTTTTCCGACACTTACCCACACGATTGCTTAAAGTCGGAGCAAACCAGAATGGGTTGCTGAAGCTCGTTGAAACGGCTGAGATGCACACCCAACATGGATCCGAAGGCGACCTACCGAAGTACATCGCTTTAAGCTATTGCTGGGGCGAGGCACGCGAAACAAATCCTCAACTGAAAACGACCCATTCCAACTTGGCGGAACACAAGATTGCCGTTGCCGAGCACAATCTGCCCCAAGCTTTACAAGATGCAGTCAGGATTTGCAGGATGCTCTCAATCCGGTATCTCTGGGTGGATTGCTTGTGCATCATACAAGGTGACAAGGTGGATTGGGAGAGGGAAAGTGCTTTGATGGGTCGCATCTACAACAATGCGTTTCTCACAATCATAGCAGCATCTTCCCCTGCGTCTGATGTCGGTTTCCTCCAGAGACGTCGCCGCGATGTGGCTGTGAAATTCCAATCAAAGCGAGATCCGAGTATCTCTGGTCACTTCCATTTGGTCTACTCCGGAAAACTTCATGGGAGGAGTACCGTAACCTTCGGATGGCCTGGAGACGATGTGGATGGCACACCGTGGAACAATCGTGGATGGACACTTCAGGAAGGAATAATGTCCAACCGACAGCTTATCTTTGGCAAGAACATGGTGCATTTCCAGTGCGAAACAGGAACCCAGTCAGAAAATGGGTACACCAACATCAAAGGTTCCACCCCTGGAACTTCTATTCAAAGCTTTCTCTACACTCGGGAACAAGGCTTCGAAGTGGGCATGTACGAAACATGGCACTTTATGCTACTTAGCTATGGCCGCAGGTCCTTCACAGTGGCCGAGGATAAGCTTCCTGCGATCTCGGGCACCGCAAACCTGATGGCTATGCTATGCAACATACCAAGTGAGGACTATCTGGCAGGGATTTGGAGAGAAGACCTGCCATATTCCATCATATGGTGGTCTGAATCTTGGAGCGATGGGGAGCCTGCAGCGAACGTCAGCGAATTGGCGGACAGACTTCGATGTCCAAATCCGTACATTGCGCCTTCTTGGAGTCCAATCAGCCAAGGAGTCATTACAAATCTGGAGCTCAAGGAGATTTCGCGAAGTGATTTCACCTCAGAGTGTGTCATATTGAATGCGTGGACAGCAATCAGAGGCTCGGACCCCTTTGGCCAAGTTCAGTACGGAGGCCTACGAATTCAAGCAAAGATGGGTCTTGCACCTTCGAAACTTATACGCGGGCATTGCGACAAGACATCCAGGTATCGAAATTGGCAGATCAGGGCAGACGACAGCATTGAAAGAATTCTGGCGTACTGTTTCTTCGCTGGACACCTTGAGTGGGATGATCAAGAGGCAGATGGCATTATCATGCTGATGGTAGGAAGCACTGTGGCCGCAGAAGATTGGCTGCACAAGAGCTGGGAGAAACTCGAAGCTAGAAGGGAAGATTGTCCGGAATGCAACCAAAATTCCAGGCTACATCACTACGTACTTGATGGAGGAAATGGACATTTAGTCGAATCTGATCCGCAACATCGGATTTGGAGGGACGCGCAGGCTAGCGACAACGTTGAAAGGATTGATCCAGCCCCGGAGAAGCCAGCCGCTGAGAAGCGTGACTATTGGGGCATTCTTCTTCATAAGTGGCAAGTCTCGGGCAAATATGTTCGTATTGGTGTCTGGCTATCTTCTGCGTACGACAGAAAGGATTTAGACTTCTTTCAAGACTGGAAAACTGGAGAGGTTGAGATTATCTAGAGATTATCAGATAATTTGCAAGTTCTTGAGAATAATAGTACATGATGTTCGGATTCTCTAAGGTATCTTGCAAGATAGGACAACTCTCAAATAGCAGAGATTTTGATTGGAGACGATGCGAATGATGGTTTGCACAAACATGTAAATCGAGATACATAAACAGAGAAAGCAAGATCACAAAAGTCACACGAAGCACCGCACACCTCAGTAACGACCCTCAAACCATACCCATCGCAGTTCCCTCAAACAAGGCAGCCCACCTCTTCCCAACCCGCGGCGCGTTGCACTCGGTCGCATCCACACAAACATTGACAGGATTTGTCCCATCCCCGCAGCAGTTGCCCGTCAAGCAAACCTTGCCCTCACCACACGGCTTCTCCTGACTGCACTGGTTCTCCTCCAGACACGACCCCGTCCTGAACGCAATGCCTCCCCCGCCGAGCATCGACCCGCAAAAGCAGTTGGAGCCTGTAATCGAGGACTCGGGCGGGTAGAACTTGCTGCCCTCCGAGAAGATGCAATTTCCTGGGTTCGGGCAGCAGGCCATAACCGTCGGGTCCGTGATGTTTCGGTCGTATTCTGGGGTGGGCGAGGGGATGGTCGTGATCTCGGCGAGTGTGGAGGGCGTGGATGTGGTGCCGGCTGTGAAGGCGAGATTGAGCGGCTGCGAGGAGGTCTGCAGGTATCGGCAGACCTGGGTCTGAATCGTCGTCAAACCGTAGTCCTCAATCAGGTCTCCCATGCCAGATCCAGCTTGGGATGTCGAGTTCCCAAAGGTTGAGGTAGAGTAGTCGTAAATCCCGAGGAAGCTGCCGATCACCTCCAGGAGGCTCTGGCCGCGCTCTGTGTCGATGTCCAACCCAGCATCCACAAATGGCTTGAGCAGTTCCCGTAGGTTAATCACGTTGCCAAGTTCCTGGGAGAGAAGACTCCACATGGACATCATTGAAGGGCAAGTCCCATCTAGTGATCCTTTCGTGAGGTGGTCAAGGGTCTGCTCGACTGAAGTCTCACAGTCTCCTGCAGGACCGCTACCTCCAGGCCAGGTACAAGTTGCAACAAAGTCGCCCTCTTTGGGAACAACCGCACAAGGATTATCTCCCAAAGATACAGCAACAGGCAACTCATCGCGCGCGGCATTACCACACTGATCTTTGAGACGAAGCAAGACATCAAACGCGCTGGTCTGTCTTTTCTGCAGAGGTCTCCCAGACGGCGTGTCGAAGAGAGCTGCGGTAGAGGTGCACGTCGAGTTGGTTAAGCTGTTGATCTGGCTGAAGAAGCCAGAAATGAAGACATCAATCTTGGGCGAACAACCAGCGGAAGCAAAGTGCAGACCCTGACTATCGACGGAGAGCGTGTCGCCGTCTTTGTCGATGATTGCCAGCTTTGCAGGACCCGATACATCGATGAGGATAGGGTCGGACGTGCTTTCGTTCATGAGACGGATGTACTTGACCGAGTTGGTGGTGTTGTCCAAGTAGAAGGTGTCGATGTACGGTGCAGTCTTGCCTTGGGTGTCTAGCTTGGACTCGTGCAGGGATTCTGTCGGAGAGGGGAGGGTGTGGCATGTGCTCGCGTTCTGAGATGCCACGATGGAAATGCCTGTAAAGGCGGAGTCGAAGGCGCTAGAGGTTGACGATGCTGTAGCTGAGGATGAGCTTGAGGAACTGGTTACGCTGGCATTTTGTGACCCGGTGATTGTGGCAGTTCCGATGAGAGTCCAGATCGAGACGCGACCATCGGGGAGGGTGCTTGTCAAAGTGACGGCGTCGCCAGTTGGAGTGGAGGCGGTTGCGGTGGTTGCGCTCGGGCTGAGAGTTGAGCCGTCTGAGACCGTCCATGTAGATGCAGCGCCGGTGATGATGCTTGTAAGGACAATGATTTGACCGGTCGGAGTTGACGTGGGGCTCGTTGTATTTGAAGGCAGAGGCAGAGTTACCCCGTCTGAGATGATCCAAGTTGATGCTCCGCCGCCGATGACGCTGCTGATGACGGTAATAACGTCTGGACCGTTGGTTGGAGAGGGAGTTGGAAAGAGTGTTGAGCCGTCTGAGATCGTCAAAGTAACTGGCTCGCCATTGATGGTACTAGTGATGGTAATGATCTCTCCAGTCGGGATTGGGGTTTGCGTAAGAGTTGACGTGGTGTTCAGAGGACGGGTCAGGGTCGAGCCATCGGAGACTGTCAATGTCGTAGCCGCACCACTGATGATCGTTGTTATGACAATGACCCCAACCGTTGGGGTAGGGCTTTGACTTGGACTTGTCGTTGCACTCGTCGGGGTTGAAAGAGTTGATCCGTCAGATACAGTAACCGTGGTTGGTTCTCCGTTGATAGTGGTGGTGATGACGATGACCTCCCCCCCAGTCAGTGCGGGAGTCGAGCTGGTGGTAGGCGATGGCTCTCCTAAAGTCACACTAGTCACACCATCCGAGACGGTAATGGTGGTTGCTTCGCCATTGATCAACGTCGTAACCACAATGACCCCGATACTTGGCGTTGGTGTCGGGGTTGCGGTACTGCTTGCCGGTGTTTCGACTGTGCTGCCGTTGGAGACTGTGATTGTTGAGACTGCACCGTTGATGGTACTCGTGATCACAATGACACCGGCGTTGGCTGTTGTAGTAGGGGATACAGGTGCACTGCTAGACTCTGTCTCCAGAGTCGTGCCGTCGGATACTGTGAAAGTTGTCGGCTGGCCTTCAATGATGCTGGTTATGACAATGACACCGCCAGTAGGCGACGGCATCGCAGTGGCAGTGCTACTGCTCATTAACGTTCCGAGAGTCAGGCCGTCCGACATGGTGAAGGTAGTCGGCTCCCCATTGATCGTGCTCGTGACAACAATGACCTCCCCTGTCGGGGAAGATGCTGGGGCAGAGGAAGTTGTGGTCGGCGAAACGATAGTAGAGCCATCTGAGATGGTCACTGTGGTCGCAGATCCATCGATGATGCTGGTAATGACGATGATCCCGCCTGTAGCCGTAGGACTTGGGGAGATGTCGCTGGCGAGAGCCGTCGTAAGTGTGCTTCCATCAGAGACGGTGATGGTGGTAGCAACACCATCGACGAAGCTGGTGATAACAGACACACCGGCTGACAAGGTCTGCGAAGTACTCGAGGTGGCCGTAGCGGTAGTTAGCGCGGAAGATGGTGCCAAGGTTGATCCACCGATCAATGTCAGAGTCGTAGCGGAACCACCGATGATAGTCGTTACCACACTAAAGTCTGCAGATTGCGTCTCAGATGCCGTGGAGCTTGATGTAGCGTTCGCAGGTATGATGGTAGACCCGCCGACGACCGTGACCGTGGTAACTTCTCCGCCAATAACGCTTGTGATGATGCTGACCTCGGCAGATGAAGACTCTGAAGGCGTCGAAGTCGTAGAAGCCGTCGCGTTAGACGACCCGGACAGAGTTGAACCTCCGATGAGTGTGATGATCGTGGCCTCACCACCGATGAAGCTCGTAAGCACACTGATGCCCGCAGATGTCGTCTCTGATGGTATCGAACTGGCCATAGAAGTCCCATTCGCTGGGCGAATGGTCGATCCGCCGATGAGCGTGGTCGTCGTAGCCTCACCACCAGTGACACTTGTAACAACACCGATGTCCCCAGAACTAGTCTCGGATGGCGTCGAGGTTGTAGTAGCAGCTGTCCTATTCCCAGAGGCAGTCAAAGATGGACCCTCAATCGTGATGATGGTCATCTGTCCACTAATGATGCTGGTAACAATCGACACTTGGCCACTCAACGTCGTCGACGCCGGACTCGTCGAAGTGGTATTGGGGAACGGAATGCCAGTCGGGAGCGTCACGACCCAAGTCGAAACCACCCCGCCCCCGACATCGCTGGTGACGGTGCTGATCCTAGCCGTCGGAGTCATCGTAGGTGAACTCTGGGTAGACTCCGAGATCCAAGGGAGCGTCCATTGCGAAGCCCCTGAACTGGAGCTCGAGGCCGTAGTCTCCGTCTGGGTGGGAGGTGGCGCATCGTGTACCTCTCCAGTGATGGTCGTCACAGTCCCGTTGATGACCATCGTGATGGTAGTTCCAATTCGTCCTTGAGGAGGCTTCAATGATGTTCGTGTGAGTGTGCTCACGATCTCAGACCCATCACTGACAATCGTAGTAACGACCGGCACACCGACAATTTCGCTCGCAGGCACCGTAATCGTCGAAATCCATCCCGAAGAAGTTCCACTCGGCTCCCCTGAGAGCGTAATCACGGTGAATTCGCCTCCACTAGTCGGCGACACCTCACCAGACGAAGCTGAAGTCCACGGAGGCGGCGGCCGTCCGGCATTACCCTCGCTCGATAAAGCAGTGACATACACAGTCTCGACGCTCGTCTCCGTAACCTGAACGGTGGTAGTAGCCTCCGCTAGCCCACACGTCCAGGCCGTGGTAGCCGTCAAGCCATCCCCGGGAACCGAAAAGGAGTAGCCCCCAGGGATATCGGTGTCCGTCGGCGCAGGACGTCCAACCACCCCAGAAGCCTCCGTCAAAGTCTCCGTCGCTGTCGCAGCGATGTCCCCATCCGCAGTAGAGTACATCGGGCCCTCCGCACTCTTCGAATGACAAGGCGGCGCGGCAGTTGCAGAGCTGATCCCGAGAAGACACCAACACTATCCTCATCAGCAAACAATCAGCCCCTCGTTGAGACGCAAAACTCACCGCAGAAGACACCTTCGCCTCCTCGTACCCAGTCGGCACCCCCTCCGGAATCGAAACCGTGCTCGTCACCTCCGCGACACCCAGTACCGAAGAGCAGTACTCCTCCGCACCGTGCCGCTCCATGCCGCGGAGGAGGTTATCCCCATGACACCCCTCAGCAGCAACAGCGACTCCGCCCAGGATCGCCAGCGCCGCCGACGCACGCATCATGAAGAAGTGAAAAGAGAGAATATCGAGGAAATCTTCTGGAAAGAAAACAAAACGAGCGAAAAATTCAGCGAGCGTCTTCTACAGCCGATGGAAGGTCTCGGTGTGCCGGGAAACCAACCGACCTGCCATCGACCTGCAACCGAGACCTTTATACTGCAAAAGTACACTCTCAACCCCTTCAGCTTCCGTCTATCGTCACATTTCCATCGACAAGGTGCGTCTCCCGAGACGAGACCAAAGAACCGGCTCTGGAAGAGCTGTCCCCTCCTCCGAGACACCGTCACCTACGCGTCCATGAAAGGTCGGTGAGATATCGACCCCCTAGCCTCGTGTCCCCGGCCCGAAGCTTCGTCGCGATCGAACCCAAAAGCCGTTCATCGACCTCACACCCGCCTAATTCCAGCTCTATCAACGACCTCGTCACACACTCTCCAAAATCCCAAGGAACAAGACCAGCGAAACGTAGCACACCAGCTGCACGCACTTACCCGAGACACATCCTTCTTCACCCACCGAGATCATGCAGGTCCCAAACGTGATAGCCCTCTCATCATGCTTCCCGTTATCTCGGCCAATAGTCCCAAAAGAACCTTCGTTTCAGCCACAGTGATGCTCAAAATCCGGGGTACCACGCGACCCTCACGCGAAGAGCACAACCACGTCCCCCTTCACGCTGCCATTCGCCCACGATCCCTCCCCTCTCACGACCGATATTGCAGCCAGAAACCTTGTCCTTCAGAGGATGGTACAAGATCACGCAGTCGAGGGACCCAGGAAGCGAGAAGTCATACAAACCACGAGTCACGTCACCATACACAAGCCAAAAGACCCAATGAAACTTCACGATAAAAAAGCAGAAAGCCAAGGCGTGCCTCCCATTTCATTTCATACCAACAATTAGCATCTACCCAGCGCCTCTCGTACAGTCATTATACCCATGACACACAAGATACCAACCCCCCTGGCCTTTAGAAATCAAAACAACACAAAATCAAGATGCCATCATTCATTAAACTTCATCTCACTCTTCCGCCCCTTTTTTAGTCTCGTCATCTCGCCGCAGCAGTCTGCTGCGTCGCCTGACTCCCAGGTGGCAACTGCCTTGTCCTGACAATGTAATCCTGGTTCTCAATCGTGACACTCTTCGTCATGTGGTTCACCTTGTAGACACCAACCAACCGGGCCGCCAACTCAAACATGTTGTTTCGGAGCGAAATGACAATGAATTGGGCGTTCTTGGTGCGCTCCTTGATATAGTTGGCGACGATGGAGACCTGAGGTAGATGTTAGCATTGCTGAAAGGCAGCGGGTAGTGTCGGGCGGGCAACTCACGTTTCTGAAATCCAACGCGGCGTCAATCTCGTCCATGACGTACAAAGGCGTCGGCTTGTAGTGGTGCAGAGCAAAAACGAGCGCCAAACTGCTGAGCGTCTTCTCTCCACCAGACAAGTTGCTGATGTTCTTCCATGACTTCTTGGGGGGCATGACGCTGAAGAGGATACCTTCGCTGAAGGGATCGAGAGAGTCCACGAGTTCGAGCTCGGCGTTACCACCCATGGTGATCATCTGGTACATCTCCTTCAAGCGGAGCGAGATGGTGCTGAAGCCCTCCATGAAGCCTTCGAGACGCAGACGGCGGAGTTCATCGCAGCGCTTCTTGGCGGCGTCGCGCTGACCGACAGCGTTCTGGAGGTCGGACGATCGCTGCGCGTGCTCGTCGACACGGCGGCGGTACTCGGAAAGAACACCGAGATCGACATTGACATTCTGGGTCTTTTCCTCAAGGGCAGCGATCTCTCCCTTGAGCTTGTCCTTGCTCATGTCGGCCAGCTCGTCAGGGGTGTATACAGGAAGCTCCGATGGCTGCTTAGCCTGCTCCTCAGATTCACCTTCCTCTTCGTCAGCGGCCTCATCGGCCACAGCTGACTGCAGAGTCTCATCTGCCTCGGCCCGTACCACTGTGTCGTCACCTTCCTCGTTCTCATCCTCTTCGCCCTCGGTCTTGGGGGCGGGCTTGGGTGCAGGGGTACGTCTGCCAGAGGGGTTGGTGTTGGTAAGGTCGTCAACATTTTGCAGCACGAGCTTTCCAAGCTTGTCGTTCCAGTACATGAGCCTCTTCTGGTTCTCCTGCAGAACCTTGGTACTCTCCTCAAGCTTGTTCTTCATCTCAATTTCCACCGCACGGGTAGTATTGAGTTCGGCAGTTTTCTCGTCGAGCTCGGCCTTGATGGATGACAGCTCGTCCTTCTTCGCTGACAAACCCTCCTCGGCCTCTTCGACTTGCGCCTGGAGAGTTTCCGCCTTCTCGCCCTGGTTCTCAATCTCGTGCTCCAGCTTCTCAAGATCACGGCTGGCGACATCGAGTTCCTTGGTGGCCTTGGCATGATCCTTCTCCAGCTTCGTCTTCTGCTTCTCTGCCTTGACCTTGCGAACCTCTGCGTTGGAAGTCTCCTCGTTCTGAGAGGCCATCTCCTCCTTCAAAGCGTCGACGTTGGCCTTTTGGATACGAAGCTTCTCACCACCGACCTGCATGATCTTGTCCTGGAGTGCCTTGATCTCCTCCTCGACGCCAGATGTCTCGTCGTGGAGCTTTTCGACCTCCTTGTTGAGCTTGGCAATCTCCTTGCCAAGGGCAGCGATGCGCTTATCATCGGCTGCGGACGGCTGGTGCTCCTTGCTCAGTTCCTTGATGCGACGATGGGCGTCGGCGAGGTTCCTGGCGGCGCTCTCGATTTCAAGGTTGATCTTCTGCATCTTGGTGTCGAGTGCAGGGATCTGCTCGTTGAGGTCACGGAGCCTGTTCTCGAGCTCTCTCTGTTGCTCCTGGAAGTCTTGGTACTTCTCCTCATAGACATCACGCTCCTCTTCAAGCTTGGCAACCTGCTCCTTGGTGGTATCGGAGGCGAGCTTGGAAGACATGAGACCCTTCTTGACAGTGTTACCACCACCAGACATGGTACCGGACTTGTCAATCAACTCGCCAGCGAGAGTGACCACACGCCATCTCTTGGCGCCGTAGGCAATTCTGTTAGCTTGAGCGAGGTCCTTGGCGACTAGTGTGTCTTGCAGGGCATGGTAGAAAGCCGGACGGAACCTCTCTTCCTTGGGGTTGACCAGGTCGAACAGGCGGGGTGCGTTCTCTGGGGTCTGAATGGGGTTCATGTCTCGTACTCTCAGCTTGTCCAGACACATGAAGTTGCCACGACCCAGGTTGGTCTTTCGGAGGTACTCAATGCACTGCTGTCCAGCCTCGACCGTGTCAGTGACGAAGTTGTCGAGGGAACCGCAAGCAGTCGAGATAGCGACGTCATATTGACCGTCGATCGCACCGAGGTTTCCAAGTCTTCCGTGGAAGCCGTCAATACGACCAGACTCTCGCATGCGCATCAGGGCAGTGAGGACGTTGCCCTGGGTCTGTGTCTTAGACAGACTCGAGCGAGCTTCGTCAGCCTTTTGTCTGGCATTGGAGACCTTTGCACGAATCTTGGGCTCGTGAGCAGCAAAGCGGGTAAGCTCGTGCTCGGCCTCCTTGGCCTCTTGTTCCAACTTGGCCTTCTCAGCCTGGCATTCCTTGAGCTCCTCCATCTTGGCTGCTCTGCGGTCCTCAATGGCGGCAATCTTGGCCTCAGTCTCGGCGATGGCGACTGCGCCCGCGTTGGCCTTCTCCTCGAGAATGCTCTTTTCGCTCTCAGCGACGGCAATGGCAGACTGCTTTTGGTTAATCTTGTCCTTCCATGGCTCGAGAGATTTTTGCTTGACAGCAATCTCGTCGGAAAACTTTTGAGTCTTGCCCTTGAGACCCTCACGGATGGTCGCGAGCTCTGCCTCCTCTTCCTGGATTCGGATCTCCAGAGAGGCGATCTCCTTGGCGCGGGTCTCGATCTCCTCACCGCACTCGACGATGGTCTCCTCGGCTTCAGTGGCAGACTTCTCGGCATTGGCGATGGTCTTCTCAAGCTTCTTTTGCTTGTCGTTGAGGAACTTTTTCTTTTCGTCAAACTTGACGCGTTCTTGCTCAAACTTGGCCATCTCCTTGACAAGAGCTTGCGTCTTCTTAGATTCGGCCTCGTGCTCCTTGCTGACTTGGGAATGCGCCTTTTGCAGTTCCTTGATGACTTTCTCGCTTCCGTGGTGCTTCTCGAGCTCCTCGTCAAGCTGAGCCTGCGTCTGACTGATGGCCTCCTCGGTAACTGCAACATTATCGTGGCATTCGGCGATGTACAGCTGGTAGAGCGCAGACTGCTTGAGAGTGAGTTCGTTCTCGTCCCTGATGTATGCCAAAGCCTTGTTCTTCTTGTCTTCGAGGCTGTTCTTCTCCTTTTCGACATGCTGAACACGACCGCTCTTCTCCATGCACGTTTCGTTGAGACTCTCGACTTCGGCCGCAGCCTCTTCGATTGGCGTCTTGTACTTGGAGGTGCCGATGATGTCCTCCAAGTACTCGAGAAGACCGTCGTCGTGTTCGTTGGCAGCCTTAGGCTTCATCTGGGCAATGGACTCGACTTCACCCTGCAGAATGAGGAAACGCTTGTGGTCGAGATCAATACCGCGGTCGCGGAGGAGGGTCGTCACCGTTGTGAAGTTTGAAGTCTTGCCGTTGATGAAGTACGAGCTCGAATTGTTCTTGAACGCCTTGCGGGAGATGATGAGATCGGAATCGGGAATGACTTCGTGGCCGCCACCAGGCTTCAATATGTTAGTATGTTAACTGCGCATGCAGAAAGCGGGTGACATACCTGGTCCATGACTTCACGGAAGTGCACAGAAACCTCGCAGTGGTCCAGGTTGGGGTACTGCGCAGAGTTGTGGATCAAAGCGGACAACTTGCCCTGACGCATCTTGCTTGCGCGGAAACCGAAAACGAACAGGAGAGAATCGATAACGTTGGACTTTCCGGAACCATTGGGACCGACAACGGACGAGAAGGAACCGTGGAAGGGACCGACTTCCTGTCGTCCGGCATAACTCTTGAAGTTGGTCAAGATCAGGTACGAAATCACAAGTCGCGGCTTCGGAGTCGTGTCCTCGACAACTGGGACTGCGAGATTGCGCGACTTCAGCACAATGTCCATCGGCTTCTCCATAATGGTGTCCATGGCGCGAATCGGCTTGACGGTCGCTGGTGTCTCGGGCACATCAGAAATGGCAGGCGCCTGCTCGTTGACACTGGCGTTCGTGATGTCGGCGAGCGGCTCGCTACGGCGCTGCGGCGACTCGCGCTGCGGTGAGGCACCTGGCCTGGGCTTCGCCATGGGAGTCTCTGGAGTGGCGGACTTGGGAGCGGCGCTCTTGCGCGGTTTCCTCGGGGTAGGAGAAGGCTTCCTGGGGGTATTCTCCTGCTCCATTGCTGCGGCAGTCTGGTTGGCGTCAAAGACCTCGGTGGGCTCGATGGTGGAAACAATGGTTTCGTCGGCTACCGACGGAGCGTCGGCGAGGACCGTCTCGTTCTCAGGCTCCTCCGTCTTTGGGGTTGGCTCGACCACAGAAGGCTCCTCGACGACCGAAGCTTCGACATTCTTCTTTTGTCTGCCTCTTCGGCGCGGGGCGGTGGTTGTGGGAGTAGATGTGGATGCGGATGCGGAAGCAGCGGCGCTCTTGCGGGCGCGGGTCGGTCGTCGCACTGGGCTCTTAGAAGGTTCGGGCTCAAAGTCTTCCTCGTCTTCGACCTTGACGGTGGTGTTGGCGACATCTTCATCGTCGGAAGAGTCGACGATGGCCTGCCGGCGCGTCGCACGGCGCGGTCGGGATGACATTGTGCGGTCTGTGTGTCGCAGAGAATGAGTAACAAGAAGAAGCGATCTAAGACGCTGCGGGGGTATCTCAATCAAAGAATTGACAAGAAACCAAACAGAAAAAGTAGCAAAAGCAACGAAAGCAGCTTTGCTGGGAAAGAAACGGCGTTGGTTGGCGATGTGCAGCTGTGGGAAAAGCGAAATGTGATTGTCTTGTTTGGTTCCCCCACTTCGCATTTGTTTGAATTGGTCACCGATTTGGCTGATTGTAAACAAACAAGCCACACTTGGCACACCGCCTTCCCCGCCCGTTGCCGAATGAGGAGACGCGTGGAGGCGCGACTGTGGCTGATGGCTCGAGCACCTGTGGCTGGAGCTCTCTCTCAAGCAAAGAGCCGCCGTTGCGTCCCGCCAAAAAGATTCTAGCCCGTTTTCTAGCTCTGTCGCCAGCAGTCCGTCGCATCGCCAGCTTCCAAGCCTCTCCAACACCACAACAATAGCCATGGCCATGTTCGACTACACAGACTTTGACCAGGTCTTTGGATCTCAGGCTTTTCCCTACGACCGCAAGTCGATCCAGGAAATCGACACGTTCAGGAAAAGCCTCGATGGCGCTCTCTTCATTGACAGGGTGCTGAAGGCCCTTGGCCTCACGAAGGGTATGCCAGAGAGAGTATGGCCCCCATCCAGATCAAGACTGACAGACTTTCGCAGCCAAGACGTATCCTCCCAAGACCGATAATGCTCTGCGCACCCTCCACCAGCACCTTTGCGAGGCCAACATTTCGACCCACCACCGTCTCTCCATCTTCTACTACATCCTCCTCGACTTCGACACTAGCCAGACGAGAGCGCAAGCTTCATCGAGATTCGCAGTCGCTTCGGGCGTCCCCAAGAACTATCAGATCTTTATGAAGGGCCTGTGGCTGCTGGATCATCAGCAATTCGAGGTGCGGCTCCCGCCGTTGTCCTGAGGCTCTACCGCTGACAAGAGTACAGAAAGCACTCGAGTACATCGCCCATCCGTCGCTCACGACCGACTTCGCCGACGAGATCATGACTGCGCTTGTGCGACACGCTCCCGAAGGCGACTACACTCTGCCCCTCTCCTACTTCCACACCGTGCAGCCCATCCTGAAGACGTCGGAAGCGCTCGAGCTGCTGTTTAACGCGATGGCGAGAACCAGTGTTACCGAGGCATTCTACTATTCAAGGACGCACTCCGAGTCCGTCCGGGGTCAGCTCTTCCGCCAATTGGTGTCCTCAGTCCTCAGTTCCCCTCTCAGCGAAGAGACTGCTGCTAGAGCGACCGAGCTGATTGGTCTTCCTTTCGATGCCATGGAGGAGGAATGGTTCGAGGAGTTCCTCACCCAAGAGGACGGCAAGAAGCTCAAGAGAGCCAAGGACACGCTTATCATGCGCAAGATCGTCACTGGCCGCTTGAGTGAAGCTGTCCAGGACAAGAGCCTGGGCAGCGGCTGGGGAATGGTGCAAGAGGGCGTCAAGAGCGGACTGGGCGGCCGCGCAGCAGAATAATTGCGGCTGCTCCAATGCGCTGTCGATGTTGATGAAAACTCTTGAAGAACGGTACTGGTTACGGCATAGCGTTGGCGTTTCGGCATGTTATTTCTGCATTCCCTTAGGCTGTAGAATTTGAATCTGTAATGTGGCTGGTTTTGCGGAGCGCGTCTGTGAAGTGAGACAAATTGCGGTTCCGACAATTGAAACCAGCATTGGAAGCAATTAGGCTTTCAACCTTGTGTTGTAGCGGCTGCCAATTCGCGTGAAAGACCTGACGATTGTCTCCTCCACTTGCAATGAACAGGCAGATTACCCGCAACGACGTCAGTAGCGAGGTGACATGACAGTAACGGGACGTAGGAGAAGCTCCTTCACCTTGACCTTTACACCGACAATACACCGAAAATGACTAAGCCGCCTTGGCCCGTCGAGTCACACCCGGCGATCCACCTCAGGGTCCTCCCACTTGCCCAAAATGAACAACTCTTAGCGCCAGCCACCCCGACCTTCTTTCACCGTCTCATCTCTACCTTCATGGCTTCCGGCGCATCGTGGTTGTGATAATGCTGGATTTTTGCACCGTTGCTCTACCACACACGATCTCACCGGGAGTCGCTAACCAACCAGAACCATGAATAACTCGACCAAAGGTGTCAAGTTTGTCGGTTCTGACGCTTCGGGGCTTCCCCTCAAGCGCAAGCAGGTCCAGCAGGCCTGTGAATCGTGTCGGAAGAAGAAGGTGCGCAAAGCCATTGCATTGCCGCGCAGTATCTGTATTCGAGTTCGACCTGACTTTGTCGCCAGAAACGCTGCATTCACGCGGAGCCAGCTCATTCCGAGCCCGGTGAAGGTGCTGGCGCATCATCTCCCAGTCATGATGGGTGGGTTTTCCCAATCTGGCAGTGGATTTGTCCCCAAGACTGACATTTCGGCAGGCCACCACCACCACCCTTAGGATCCCCTACCAAGCATCGCAATTCTACCTCAGCTGGCCCCGAAGGCAATCTTAACCTGTCGCCTTCACGGCGGGACTCTGACGCGAAAACAGATGCTCATGGCGGCCAGACGAGGTTCGTTGGGGACCTGAACCCGGAGGGCATGTTTGCAGAGGCCGCAGACTCGGCGGACTCGGCAGCTAATCCCACCCTCAAGGCCGAAGTTGGCGTCTGGCTGCCGTCTGGAACGACGACAGCCGGTCAAACTACGAACAGCGTCGTGTCTCGCCCGGCGGCCATGATCGACAAGGTCCTGCTCCCCTACGTCAAACAGCATTGTCTCACCTGCGTGCCCCCAGAAAAGGACTTTAAGCACCTCCACAGGGTCTACCGGGAGAAGATCCACTCAATCTTCGCTTTGGTCCCTGAGGACGTTGTGATTGAAGGCGACACGCCGGCAGCTATTGTTATGCGACAGGTCGTGTCTTTGGCCGCGGCATCCGACCCGGAGATGAAGAGTCACCTGCGGCTCGCCAACCAAGGCCATAAGAAGATGCCTTACCAAGATTTCCACCAGCACCTCTCTGGTTCCATTCGCACCATTCTGGAGACGAGTTTGATCACAGACCGGACCATTCACATTCGTGCCTTGTGCATGCTGTCCCTCTACATCCAGCCTTCGGGGGCCGACGAGGCCGATCTGCCCGCGCAGCTGGGTGCGAGGGCTGTGCATCACTGCCAGACTCTTGGCTTGCAGCTGTTCCACACCAGCGACGATGCCTTAGACACCCTCTTTTGCGCCGTTTGGGCCATTGACCGTATCAATGCCGCCGCGTACGGACGGCCGTCTGTTATTCACGAGCGGGATATCGGACCTGGACTTGAGGACTGCTTCCGCAGACAAACCCCATGCTTCCGCCTATTCCTCTCCGTCGTGCAGTGGTTGGATAAAGTCATTGAACTATACAGGCCAGGTGTTATCGCATCATCTCTTGAAACAAAACCCTTCATCGACCTTCCTGTGCTGGAGCCCATGATACTCGATGCCGGGGCCTTACAAGTGCCCACGCCCTTGCTCGGTTTGTCCCCTGCCCTGCCTTCACACGCTTTTGATACTGACTTCTCGCAGCCACGATTGAGGTGTTTTATCACGCTGTCATCATCCTGTCATGTCGCCTGCCGAGACCTGGGCCCCCATCAAACTACGCGCAGACGATCCCGCCCGCATCGGCCAACGCTCGCCGTTCCCTCGCAGCGGAGCGCATCTCTTCCGCCATCCGTCGAGATCACCTTAGCCCAGTGCCTCTTGTCCCCTATGCCCTTTCCCTCGCACTCAGTGTCGAGTACCGCAAAATGCGACATAGCGCCCTTCCAATGTTCCGCGCGCGAGCCCGCAGCGCCTTCAAGTCGAATTCCGAGCTCATGAAGCGCTTTGGCGATGTATTCTGGAGTGCTAGGGTAGTAGCCGGGCTTGGAGAGCGCATCCTTAGAGAGATGGAGCGGGCTGCCACATCACTTGTGCAAGGAGCCGCCGTGCCGCAATCTTCCCATGTGGATATCGCCGCCAACGGCAGGATCGAAGCCCCCGTTTCGACAGCAGCGGTGCAGGACGCGGTTCCCCAGCTGCCCACGACGTTGGCGTCCGATTTCACCACATCGGAGACTATCGACTTTTCAGTGGTCGATGCCATGACAAACGTAGACGTCTTTGGGCACTTTGATCCAAACTTTAACCTTTCAGCAGTTGACAATGCCTTGGAGGCAAATCTGGATATCGGTTTGCCTCTAAATTGGGGAGAGTGGGACCAGTTCACCAGTTAGGAAACCAGCCTTTGGACACCTGTCAGAGGACTTGAGCAAGAGGGGTTCTTCTTACCGCGGGGCTTTTCAACCAGAGTCGTTGCTTTCAAGGCTTCAAGTATGAACTGACTGATACCCGTGACATAGAATTATTGGCGGAACACTGCTTTGGAACAGGCGTAGAACCGGCTTTGAAATGGGCGTTAGGGTCGGACTATTGGATTACAAAGGAGCCAACTTGCTATGGACTGGCCATGCATTGCCACATATCGATATGCACTCGGAAGCTGTACAAGAGTAGCAGAAACTAGACGTGCATTTATCATTGGACATTTGTAGAACAAAAGGAAAGAATCCGTCAAGAAATCCTCATCAATATCAGTGAAATTCATTAGCTCCTGTCCTGGTCACTGAATGAGCTTCGCGATGTATGATTCGTCGATGACAAATCAGGGTGGGTCCCGACGGTTGGACTGCTAAAGTCTCCATCGCCACCACTGCAGACGCCTTCAGTGGCTTCAGCGCGTATAGAACCTCTTCTATCTATCTTCGCGAACAGCATTTCTCAACTTCACGCTGCAAACCCATCATGGCTCCTCCACTCAACCTCCTCATCCGCGCCCTCGTCGCCTTCGAGGACGTAATCATCAGACAGGTCCGCACGCACCACTACCCCTCCTACGGGTGAACTGACCCCTCCATCATGACACCCAGCTAACTCCGCGCTCCGTACAGATCCTCCGCAGCCCAGGCTTCCACCGCGGTGTCGGCCGCATCCAACGATTCGTAGACGAGAAGCAGAACGGGCCGATGCCGCATGAGCCGTTGCGACAGGGAGAAGCGTCAGGTAAGTGGGGAGCTAGTTGGTGTTGCAGGACGACAGAACGGAAGAGGCTAACACGGGTGGATGCAGCTAATCCCGAGGATCGAGGGTTCGCACACCACTTCTTCGAGGAGCTGAAGAATCAGTTCCGCGGGACGCCGACGGATCCGCCGCCGCGGGGACCGCCTGCGCCGCCGAAGCGGTGATGGTGTTTGGAGTGACGAATGAACGAGTTACGAACACGCCCCGGTCGAGTCGAAGATGGGACACGATGCGCGGAGCGGCGATGACGAATCTCCTCTCTGGTTTATATACCCAATATTTCGATAACGAACGAATCCGCGCGGGGAACATCTCAGCAGGAACGAGGGGAAGAAGTTGGGCAGTCGCCTTTTCGACTGGATGACCCACGCTTTCGTTTCTCGCGGACAGGCGTTTTAAGCGCCTCTTCCATCACATCTTTCCTAGGGAAACCTTTGGTTTAGAAGGAATTTGCCATCGGCCTTTGGAATATTTCATCGCATGATGTAGGGTCAGAGGAGTACTTCTTGGATACGCAGGATATGGTACGCAGTGGGTAACGGAACGACACTCCGGAGCGGCCTCACCCCAGCGCTGAGACCGCCTCTGCGACGGCCAATTCAAGATCGGCAACATCCGAGAGACTGGTCGATTCAACGGAGATCGGATGCTCCTATAGAGCCGAAAGACAAAACCTCCTTTCGCGGTGTTCGCCGGAAGCGAGACCGAGTGGCTGGCTCAGGGGCACAATTAAATAATTGAAGCCATCGCGGGTTTCGTCTGATGTTAATGGCCAGACCCCAGGCCTGACTCAAAAAAGTGGCTGAATAAACATTAATTGCACCCTGCACTATTGAAGACTTTACGGCATGGTAGTGCTCAAGTGCGAAAATTATCAGTCAAACAAGCTTTTGCGTGAGTCCCTGAAATTTCTCCGCCCCCTCTAAACATGGGACAACGATCATGGGTTGACATGCAACCCAACTCTAATAAACCCCCTCCCATCGGTCACTAGCAAACAGTCCCAGCTCTCCTGGCTTGAGTGCAGCTGCGAAGTCGTCTTCGGGCCGCTGAACCACCATGTTGGACCGACTGAGGGGTCGTCGTGCAGGGCCCGGAGGCAGAGCCCCCAAGTTGCCTCATTCGGAAGAACAACCTCTCTCAATCTACGTGATGCAAGCTCGCCTATCGTGATACTTTCCTATCCGGGCCGCCTCCAAGTCGCTCTCCGTCCTCAAAAGAGAATGGTTTTCCCGCTCCATTAACTGACTACGACCAATTCGGTTCTTTTGGATACTTGTCTCGATCTTTCTCAGCTGGTCTCGGCTACCTTCCGCTCATTACCTGTTCACTTCGCGTCGCTCGCTCAGCCATGTTTGCATACGATTTTCCACCAAGCGCTGCGCTGCGCGCGTTGGTGGCTGGCCTTTTCTTGTGAGTTGCATTCCGAACAATTCGTATTGCCCAGCCGTGATCCGGCGGGCTTGTCTAGTCTATGGAAGCGAGTGCTTCGCGTATAATCTAGGTTGGATCCCTCGAGACTCTACGGGCTGCCATTGCCTGCTTCTTGCCGCCGCGATCGATGCTTCATCCTTCAACATGAGATCGAGCCTCAGCTTCGTTACTCTGGCGCTGCTTCATGCCGCTTCCGCTCAGCAAACGGCATACGGCCAACGCGGCGGCAGCGGCTGGACGGGCCCGACGACCTGCGTGGCCGGCTGGACATGTCAGAAGCAGAACGAATGTAAGTCTCGCTCACTTCCCATCCTCACTCTCACTCACACATCATAGGGTACTCGCAATGTCTCGAGGGAAAGGCCAGCACAACCACCCTCCTCACATCAGCCAAACCAACATCCTCATCAGCACTGACAACCACCGCCAGATCCTCCACCGCCACCGCCGTTCCAGCCCCATGCTCCGGCACCTTCAGCGACATTGGGGCCGTGGACTACGTCAAGGCAATGAACCCGGGATGGAACCTAGGCAACACCCTCGACGCCATCCCCAACGAGGGCTCCTGGAATAACCCCCCGGTCAAGGAGGAGACCTTTGACGACATCAAGGCCGCCGGCTTCAAGAGCGTCCGCATCCCCGTCACCTACAACGACCACTTCACCAGCGCCGCGCCCAACTACACCATCGACCCGGCCTGGCTCCAGCGCGTCTCGGACGTCGTCGACATGGCTACCGCCCGCGGCCTCTACGTCCTCACCAACGTCCACCACGACTCCTGGAACTGGGCCGACGTCACAAAGGCCACCACCAACGAGACCCGCGCCGCCCTCGACGCAAAGTTCTACGCCACCTGGCTACAGATCGGCCAGAAGCTCGCCTGCAAGTCCAACCTCGTGTCCCTCGAGCCCATCAACGAGCCCCCCGCCACGACCGCCGAGCACGGCGCCCACCTCAACGCCCTCAACGACCTCTTCCTCAAGGCCCTCGACGACTCCGGCGGCTTCAACACCCGCCGCGTCGTCACCCTCATGGGCGGCAGCATGGACGGCTACAAGACCACGCAGTGGTTCAAGGCCCCCGCCGCCATCAAGAACCCCTGGGCCCTGCAGTACCACTACTACTCCCCCTACGACTTCGTCTTCTCCGCGTGGGGCAAGACGATATGGGGCAGCGACGCCGACAAGGCGTCCATGAAGAATGATCTGGCCGTCGTCCGCGGGAACTTTACTGATGTGCCCCTCGTCATCGGCGAGTTCGACGCCAGCCCGCTCAACACGGAGCCCGCCGCCCGCTGGAAGTGGACGGACCACTTCGTCCGCACCGCGGCGGAGCTCAACACGGCGCTGATAATCTGGGACAACGGGCTCGACCACCTTGACCGTAATGCGCACTCGTGGCGCGACCTGACCTCGCTCGCCATCGTGAAGAATGCAGTGCAGCCGCCGCGGAATTCGCTGCCGGAGAGCACCACCGACGCAGGCGCAACGACGCAGAGCTCCTCCGCCTTCGTGTGGAACAAGGTCGGTGACACGCCCAAGGACGCCGTCCTGCCGTGGCAGTTCAATGGGAACACGCTCAAGAGCATCAAGACCAACTCCGGAGGTATGCTCGCCGCCGACACGGACTATTTTGTGTCAGACTCCGCCATCACCCTCAAGGCAGGCGTTCTCGGGCAGTGGCTCACGCCGACGGCAGCGCCGGGGAGCAAGGCGAACCTGACGCTGGAGTTCTCCGCCGGCGCGCCGGTGCAGGTCGAAGTGGTGCAGTGGGACGTGCCGACGCTGGCTGTGAGCGAGAGCAAGGCTGTCGCCGGGAAGGATCTGAATATCACGGTCGAGTACAAGGGGCTGAGGATGCCTGCTGCCGTGAAGGCGTTGAAGAGCGACGGGGGGTTCCTGTTTGATGATTGGACTAGCGTGCTTGGGCCGCTGCAGGCTGCTCATATTGTAGGTTCAGATATCTGGACATGATGGGGATCTTTGCTGACTCTTTTGGTAGACTTACAGCGGCCAGTGGAGCTACGACGGCGCCAAGATTGTGTTGCCGAACGCGACTGTCCAGGCTGTCATCAGCGGTGGCAAGCCGACGGTGTTCACGTTTGAGTTCTACCCGAGAGTGCCGGGGAACAATGTCACGTACACTCTGACGCCGTGAGCTGAGTTGGGGAGTTTGTGTGCATGGCTTAGCTAGACTGGACGCAGGGATTTGGATCTCATCTTCTTGGTGTAAATACTTCTTCGCCGTTTTATTACAGGCAATCAAGGACTTTTGAACGCAAAGGCAGACTGAGTCAAGTGGCTAAATGCTGGTCAGCCGGGCGTAAACCGGCCAACTCCGAACCCCGGCCCCGCCCCCGCGCGGGGTTTCGCGGATGATACTCCGAACGCCTTCAGACCTACCACCAACAAGCCGGGCCTCACGACGCTGGTTCAAAGCCTTTAGATCAAGATATTAATCAATCATCACCCCACCACTCTTACTCAAATTATTCATCATCACCACAAGTCACAGATCCAACCAGCATCCACAATAAAACCCATCTACTTCGGACCTCGGTCCAAATCAGCCCGAGAGCCACCTAACCCAGCTCATCTCATCCTCTCCATAGAACCATACCTCATCCTCTTTCTGACCAACCCTCCCTCACATCGCCATTCACACCACCACACCAGCAACCATGCTCTCCGAAGCCTTCTTCGGCGCAGACGCCGCCCGGCCCCTCTGGGACTCAGACCCCCTCGCTGACGCTTTCACCCTCCAAGACGCCGCCGCCCCCCTCGACGCCGCCGTCGTCGCCTCCGTCGCCCGCCCCTGGCTCTTCACCTACAACCCAACCGTCTTCCCCAACAACCGCGCCGTCCTCATCCTCGGCGGCGGCGGCTACGTCGAGCTCATGCTCGGCCGCGAGGGCGTCCAGGTCGCCCGCTGGCTCGCCTCCCTCGGCTTCGCCGCCCACGTCCTCGTCCACCGCTTCCCTACGCCTGCCACCTCCCCCTCCGCACCCCTCGACGACGCCCGCCAGGCCCTCCGCCTCATCAAAGAAACTTCTATCTCTCCCGATGGCGGGGTGCCCTCGCTGGCAGTGTGCGGGCTCTCCTCCGGCGGGCACCTTGCCGCTGCCCTACTATCCGAATACCCGCCCCAATGGTCCGCAACCGCAGGCGCCCCCGTCCCGGAGCTGGAATTTGCTATTATAGGGTACGCACCCATCTCCACGAACGCAAAGGGCCACCAGATCGTGCCGAACAAGGCGCCGCTGCCGCCAGCGGAGAAGCAGGCGCTCTACGACGCCGTCATCCCCGACGCGCAGCTGCGCAAGCCCGCGCCGTCGAGTTTTGTGGTCTATGCGGGCAATGACCCCGTGGTGCCGGTGGTGAACGCGTACCGGATCGCGCAGGCGGTTCAGGCGGCCGGCGGGCAGGTGGAGCTGCATGTGTACGGCGATGCGCCACATGGGTTCGCGCTGGATACCGAGGGGCTGCCGGTGAGTGGGTGGACGGGGGTTTGTGAGCAGTGGTTGAGGCAGAGGGGGATCGTGGGGGGAGGGTGTTGGGGGTTGTAAGTCGGATGAATGGATATCAGCTGGTTGCATGTGAAGAAGGGGAGCAAGTTCATGAGGCCGAGCGAGGTTGTTCCCCGGACCCCGTATTAATGAGCGTATCCCTATTGTTACACTACTATACAAACGCACATCTGTTCTCGTGCGGGTTCTCTCCCAGGACTGTCGTGATGATCTAGCCTCAGCGGAAGGCGGCATCAGACCACGCGTTCCAATGCTCAAAGTTCAAAAAGTTCCACACGACATTCGGGTCTACCAAGTTGGCGTCGAAATCGCCCGGTATCAGATTATCCCCGAGCTCGTCTCCGCCTCGGTGTATATCAAGCCCCTCCGTCATGAACATCGGCGAGGTCGTCTGCTGCATCGCCTGCTGCGTCTCATCCTGTATCTTCATCGCCACCGTCGCCGGGTCCGACTGCAGCGCGACGTGTTCGTTGGCCTGTCGTTGGTTTGGCGGGTTGCCGCCACCGCTTCCGCCCGCTTCCGCAGCCGTCTTGGGCGCCGCGGCGACGTGGAGCAGCTCTGTGACGATCTCGGCGCACCGCCGCGCGACGGCGAGCATCTTCATCGCCTTGAAGATCTCGATGCTCATCTCGAGGTTTTCGATGACTTCCTCGTTGGAGAAGGGGGAGGAGATGTTGGAGATGAGGACGTGGAGGAGGACCATGCAGGCGTCGAGGAGGTACATGCAGTTGTACCACCTGTACAAGACAAATCATCAGTAACGAGGAACACAGAAAGCGGGAGTTGGAGGGAGAGAGGGGTGAGACGTGCGTACCATGTTCTGAAGTATGGGCGGTGCAGGTAGCTTGTGTGCATGAATCGGATCGTCTCAGTCGCAGCCTTCACGCAGGATGAGACGTGACGGGAGAGCGTTTTGCGGTCCGACTCTGGCGTCTTGAGGATCAGGAACTGGCGGTGGAGGAGGATTCTAGCATTCAGGAAGCCTGTGATGCGATTTCGGTTAGTTGATCATCTTGAGTGAAGCAGCCTGAGAGGGGATTGGCGTACGAAGCTTGAGAACTGTCTTTTGTTTCATGGCGAACTCGCTGTCTTCCAACGACGAAGTGTCGAACCTGAGCTCTCGCGGGAGCCCAGACTTCCAGTCGTCCAGCTCCCGGTCCAGATTCAATGCCGTTTGCGACAGCCGCTGTAATGATGTGTGGCTGTTGTGGAGGCTTAGGTTGTCCGTCATCCACATGAGGATCTTGGCGAGATCGACCATGGGGTTGATGAGGCACGAGGAAGAGCTGACGAAGCCCTGATAGCTGTTAGCGATAGCACGGAGTTCGAGTGGATTGTCACACGTACTGCTGTTCTTGGGAAGGGGATGGAGTAAGAACTCGGTCCTCGTAATCCTGATTGGCGTCCGGCGGAGAAGCACATTTCGCTAGCTAGTCAGCACCTCATCACCATGTGTGGATAGCCTCAACATACATCTCATGTGAGTACAGAGACCTATCAAACGTCAGAAAATTGCTCTTAGGTTGACAGGCGCAAGTGAGGGTCTTACCACCAGAGCAAACTTTCCTGGCTAGTCTCGGATCGGATGTTGGTAGGAATACCCATGGCCGACGCGGTACGGATGGCCATGCCGCTGTACATGTAACAGCTGTGCGGCTTGAGCGCATTCTGACAGAAAACGGACTAGGATGGCGTCAGCTCAGCTCAGCTCCCCCGCAGGTTCCTGGGCTGTAGTCAGTGAGGGGGTAACGGCCATGATGCTCTCACCATGAGGAACAGAGTCTGCGCCGTCTCAAGCGAGCTCGACTCGCAGATGTCCTCCAAATAAAGCTTCGCCCGCTCAAAGTACCGCCTCGCAAGCCTGATAGGCGGATACGTCGTCTCGTTCTCCCCAGGCAGCTCGGTCCTGTCCAGGAACTGCAGCGTGTGATCCTCCATCAGCAACGACGTCTCCCCGGCCGTAATCGCCCCGATCGCAATCACAGAGTTGAACAGCGACAGGAACCGCGCCCCGCGGCGTTGCTGCGACGGCTCCTCCAGCGCCGCCTTGCGCTGCCACACCTCCTCGTCGCACCGCTTCACGAACGCCGTCTGCTCCAGGATCGGGTGGATGTTGTGCAGGTTCTGAAAGTACAGCCGCACACATTCCCGCTCCACTTCCGTCGCGAACACCGCGTCCGCCGGGGTGAGCATCTTCCCATTCCCGTACTGCACCGAGTCGCGCCGCGTCGCCGCGCTGGCGGACGGCGTGCCTTTCCCTGGCGTCTGGCCGTGGCGGTTGTCCGGCGACGTGGAGTAGTCCGAGCTGTGGAGGAGGTTGACGACTGACGTCTGGTTGAGCGTCTTGCCGCCGGGTGATGTCTTGGTATCCGGTTGACCAGGCTGCTGCGGCTGCTTTTGAGTACCACTGTTGTTCGCCCTGGACCGTAAACGCGCCAGGAAGTAGAACGTCCCCGTCGGGCCGTAGAACTCTGCGCCTTCGGTGTGGTCGTTCACCTGACCCAGGCCGTCAACCTCCTGCTCCGACGAGACGACCGAGGACCCGCGGTCGCGCTCCATCGGCGGCTCCGACATGAAAGGCGGGTGCGGATTCGCCGCGGTGACGGGATTCTCAACCTTGAGCGGCTCATCCAGGCTCACGGGCGACGGGTGAAGCTGCTCCGCGGGAACCGGCTGGCTCTGCGGACGCTGCTGAATGCGACCTGTCGGGTCGAACATCCTCTTACTGAGGCCATGGTCAGACTCAGAGACAACAGGTACGGGGTGAATCCACTTGGGTCTGGTTGACGTACACTTCCTCGGGCTTATCTTTATACGAGCATGAGAACTCATGGCCTATATCAGAACATCGGGTCAGCACTTAGACATGGAACTGAACAACCGATGAAATCAAGTCAAACAATTGTTCTGCCCATCTACTCACGGACGCAGTTTGAACACGGCGAGCTCCCGTCGCACTAATCGCCGAAAAAGGATCAGCAACATGATCTCGCGTGTTCCCATCATCATCGCCGACGACGAGACCGAACTACTAGCCTTGACTTTGCGCGCGCGACAAGTCCCACACGCCACCGGCGCACGCGGCCGACGTTTCCTCTTGAGAGTGCCCGACTCCGAGTTATCCGAGGTACCAGCGGGCAGGGTGGGGATATCCGCATCCATATCTCGGCCGGCGTTGCTTTCTATGGCGATTTAAGGTCGTATAATTACGGGGGAAGTTATTGGGTGCAGATAATGTTCGATGAACGACACGTTTGGTTGGCGAGAAGAAGTGTATGAGCAGAGTCACTGCTTGGGCTAGTGTGGGAGGCGGTGGGGAGGGAGGTTTCGAACCATGCTGGATTTACTCGACCCATGCGCTGTCTGCGCTTCACTGCTTCCTTCATTGCTACATAATACATGTAATGTACACTGACATGACTGACGGCAGCGCGCGTGGCGGTCAACGGCCGGCGTAGCGGCCCCGGGGTGGCGCGGTCGCATCCATGGAACTGCGTGTTCGTGTTTCCTTCTGTGCTGGGGCCGTTTCTTCAGCATGCAGGCTAAAAAGGGCCTAACATCAAAGTCTCAGAAGCAACGTGAGACGTGCCTCTGTCAAGCAGAGTTCTGACTTAGATCCAATGGATGCACTAGCGACGTCGCCGCTTTGACATTGCCTCTGAATGACTCGGCGAATCGGAAGCATCTCTTCGGCTTTAACAGGGCCTGGCCAATGGGATGTTGAACGTCGGGGAGCCGACGGGCTCGGCATCGTCTCCCTCGTGTACTTGATCTCGGGCTGCATCCCCGTCCATGGGAACGAGATAATTGCAGAGGATAGACAGGAAACGCTTCCCGCTAGACACACAATTCACCAGATGGCGGTCTTCTGGAATTTGTATTCCGTCCATTAAACGATTTTTCAATCCTTTTTTCCTCCCAACTTATGTCATAAAAAAACAGAAGCCCAAAGAGACATTCCAAAAATGGAAGATGTTTCAGTCAATGTACCTGTTCTCGTGGTAGGCGGAGGGCCTACGGGTCTGTTCACAGCATACATGCTCTCCAAGCACGGCGGTTGGTGGGCCTGATGTTGGCGCTGGGGAGAGTTGCGATGAGCTAACCCATTAATCCTTTATTCCAGTCAAATCGCTCCTCATCGAAAAGTATCCCCAACGGCTGGCGGCGCCCAAGGCACACGCATTATGTCCTCGAACGCTGGAATTTTGCAGGCAATATGGCCTCGACACGAATGCGCTGCGGAAGCTCGGGAGTCCCCGAGACGATGCGTACTGGGTTAATTTCTTGACGAACCTGAGCGGCGAGAGGATTGGGTATTTACCCTATGAGAGGATGGATGTTGAAGTGCTGGAAAGCACACCCGAAGTGAGTTCGCCATTGACTGTTTTCATGATAAAATGCAACGTTTAACTGAAATCTTACCGCAGATGATTCACAACGTGCCTCAACCAGATTTTGAGAGATTTGTCGCTGAGAAGCTCGCATTTGACAACAATGTAGAGCTGAGGAAAGGCATTGCTTTTGTATGCTGTGAGCAGGTGAGACCGTTGTTCTTATGCGCTGTAATTGATTTTTACTGCGCACATGAGAGCTAATCATGGCTCTAGCGTGGCGATAGAGTGATTACTACCGTTGAAGAGCGGGCGACAAAAAAGCGCTGGGCCATTGCCTCCAATTATGTTATTGGTTGCGATGGTGCTAAGAGTGAAGTGCGCAAGTCTCTCAACATCGAGACTGAAGGCGAAGACGGATGTAGGTGTTGTCTTACTCTTTTGAGAATGTGCGACACTAACAGCCGACCTTTGAAGATGAGACCATGATGACGATACACTTCAACGCAGACCTGCGGCCCATCGTGAAGGAAAGAGTGGGCATGCTGCACTGGATAGTTGACCCCGCGTGTTCTGGTTTTATCATCGCGTACGATCTCGGCGGAAACCAGGTCTTAATCAGCAATTTTGACGTGAGACATTGAGGAACTATGTTTTGCAAGTGCACAGCTAATGTGACACAGTCAAATAAACACCCCGCTGAGGCGTGGAGTGAACACCTCGCGCGCGCAACTGTTACGGCTGCAATAGGAAAGGACATACCTTTCAAAATACTCAGCTATAGGCCTTGGGTGTTGAGTCGAAAAGTTGCAAAAGAGTACAGACGCGGCAACACATTTTTGTAAGTCGCACACTCAATATGTCCACAGCGAGATGTCGGCATGCTGACTCTGAGCAGGCTCGGCGATGCAGCGCACTCCTTCCCACCAACAGGTGGTCTCGGTCTCAACTCAGGCCTAGCTGATGCACATAACCTGGTCTACAAGATCGCTGCTGTGCATCAGGGGTGGGCGAAGCCGTCCATCCTCGACACGTACGAGGCCGACCGACGCCAGATCGCGCTGGTGGCCTCTTCGCAGAGTGTCAAAAACGGGAAGACCATCTTTTCGTTTTTGAAAGCCGTGGGTACAGCCGGTATTGACGATGTGGACGAGGCAAGAGCGAACATGTACAAGACGATACACGACCCCGCGAAAGAGGACTTGATAGCGCAGAATGTGGAAGGGCAGCGGGAACACTTTGACAACGTAAGTCTGAAGTTGTGACGCGCACTCTCCGATTCATGATACTGACTCCAGTACTTGACAGCTGGAAATTCACATTGGATATGTTTATGGCGATAAAGAACCGCCTGCGAACGCATCGCATTATACACCAAAATTCAAAGTCGGAGCTCGGCTGCCTCACGCCTGGATCAAACTCCTCAAACCAAACAATCGCATCCCCGATTACCCAATCGACACATCCTACGTCAAAGAACTCACAAAAGAACAAGTATCATCTAGACAATTCTCAACTCTCGACCTCGTAAGTCCGGGAGCCTTCAGCCTCATAGCGGAGTCCCACTCCTTATGGGCACAGCGCTTTAAGGACTTTGAAGAAGCGATGGCTAGCAAAATAGGCCCCCGCGTCCACCTTTGGGCCGAGGACTCGGATTTCGAGTTCACGAACGAGGCACATCGTAAGCTATTTCATAAACAGGGGCGTCTGGCCCAGGGAGCAGCGCTCCTGGTGAGGCCGGACCAGCATATACTGGGATGCCTGGGCCCTGAGGCCTCGGCGCAGGATATAGTTTTGATGGTCCAGGGACATTTGGGTCTCGAAAGAGCGCAGTTATAGACAGCCAGCGTGGATTCAGTCATAATACAGAGCATGCGTTGTTGTTCACTGATGAATTTGCTGCTCCCTGTCAAGTGATCTCAACATCTGGTAAAAAAAATACCCAGTTCAGTCTTGTTCCCCTTTCTTGATGTGTCATGTACTATCACTATCCAAGAATGATTGAGGGTTCCACGGTGCAACCGCAAGACCATTCCCGTAGGCGATTGTTTTCGTGAAATGTCTCATACCTCTCAGCTCCCGAGTGCGGCTGACCCAGGCCGGCTTCTCATGCGAAGCGAACCCGTCCAGAATGTAGCCGGTGTTTTGCGCCGACTTTCTCGGGATGCTCTATCAGCTGCGCCGCCTCGAAAAACAGCCACGTTGTGCCGCAGCTCTGTGCCAGCCGCGTTGACGACTTTGTCTCCGAGACTAAAAGTATGCGTGACTTCGGGGCTAGCCGCGCCTAGTCCACCACTGCGCACGAGAACTCCATAATTAGAATCGCCCGGAGAGCATTATCGATGGACAAGTCTCCGCGTGGTGGCTGCGGACTCCTGTTGCTGCCGCAATTGTACGTTGACGAGAACGTTACACAGGCTGAACAGGCTATCAACATTACCGTTTTGGAAAGCCTCGCAGAAACATATAAAATGAGTTTGATGTCTTCTCTCCGTCCTGTTCTTAATTCATCATCTCATTCAACGCAGTCGGGTCCCAATAATCATTTTGCCCATCAAGTCTTTACGTTGTCTAAGCTCCTTAATACCGTATTCCGATTGCTCATTACACTTCCAGAATACTCAACATGAAGTCCTTCACTTTCGCCGCCATCTTCCTTCCCACCATCACCCTGGCCCTTCCACAGCTTGAGACCGTCAAACGCTTCACCAACGGAACAAGCAATCTAAACCCGCCACCCACCGACATCGGTGCTGTCTGTACTCCCGCCAAATACCAGTGCCGCCATAATCCAGACAACACCTGGAGCTGGGACGTCTGCAACACCTCGTCCAAGTGGGTGAACGGCGGCAACTGTGCGCCCACTGAGACCTGCGTCTTCAACTCCCTCAACGGGTCTCCCTACTGCGTGCCCATCCCGCCCAAGGCCCCCGCCAAGGAGACCGCAAATCAGTGCTTCCCTGGGAAGTACCAGTGCAGGTACGACGAATCCAAGGGCTGGAGTATTGAGACGTGCAACGACGCTGGTAATTGGGGCCACACCCTCGACTGCGAGGCCTCTGAGACGTGCACTTATAGTCCGGCGGCTGGGTATCCTTACTGCACGTCGAAGTCTGATAGTCGTGTTTGCACTCCTGGGACGTATCAGTGCAGCTATGTTCAAGCTTGGGGCTGGGATATTTGCTCTACTGAGGGCAAGTGGGTGAGGGGTGGATCTTGCAAGACTGGCGAGACGTGCTCTTTCAACCCCCTGAACGGGTCTCCTTACTGCATCTAACGGATAGGGTCATGTGGTGTGTGTTGAGATTGGCTAGAGTTCTTGATTCGTTTCCATGCGGCTGTTATGTGTATTGGATATTTATTAAGTCTTTGCCTACGCTGATTGCGTTGGCCTTGCCACGGGCCTTGGATGCAGTGTTTCCAAACATGGGTTTCTAGGTCTCTATCGATGACGAGTTTGCATCTTGAACAGCAGAAAGGCTTTCTAGCAACAAAAGTACTATTAAATTATGACCGGGATGGGGTGATACTCTGAAGCAAGCTCTCGGTGTCCGATTGTCGACCCCTTACTCCCTCAGCTGGAACATCGTACAGACTGTCCAACTCGACCATTAAGGAGGCATTCGACTCATTAGCCTGCAGCATTTTGACTTTCATGCTCTGTGCAATCTTTTCCATTTCGGCCGTGCTGAGCAGATTTCCGCTTCTTGAAACGAACGCGTTGCCAAGGGCCCCTTCTCCGACTCTGTCTCCTGCGGAATCCCGGAATCGGTCATTGTAGAAAATGAGTGGCAATTGGTGACTTTTCCATACCATCTCATCTTCCCTGTGATAAAGGCCTCGTGCAATAACCCAGACCAAAGCGGTAACCTCGATCACCAAAAGAAGTATAGGGAACGTAAGCCACAGCCATCTGACTTCAATGTAGCTGATTGATGTCACAGCTGTGCCATAGACTCGCGACACACTGCCTTCCTCTCTGGCAAGACCCGATCTTAAATAACTCGTCATTGAGTTAGAAAAGCCAGCGAACCTGGTAGAAATCGTCTCATATGACCCTCTGCTTTCTCCCCATAGTAGCGCTAACCACCATTTTCCATCGCAGTCAACATCTTGCCGAAACCCCTTCCTACATGAGCCGTTGAAGATGTCGTTTTTCCACATGGATGAAAGCATGGAAAACATCGACGCGCTGAGGCGGAATACGCAAGGTTTTGGAACGGTTCGACGGATGTAGTTCGGCGCGCTCCATGGTGCCATAATTCTCACATCAGTGACTTGATTAACTCGGGTTGTGCTATTGACATCTTCCCAGAGATGGAGTGTATCGTTTGATCGACATGGCACTTGAATGGCTGCTAATCCACTTGAGCTAGCGGGGATATTGTCCTCATTTTCGAAGCCGACGATGGATGAAGAAGAACCATTATTGAGGATATCGACGTACATCGGGGTCGATTTGATCAATGTGTCCGTGAGCTCTCCCCCTTCGACAGAAACTTTATAAAGCCTCATGCAAGGATACAGAGAGCATAAAACTGCTACGTAGCCTGCCTGTGGCCTGCCCATCGTAGTTTGACCAGCAGGCCCATTTCGGCTAGACAGAATGGTGATGTTCGCGAAAGCCCATTGAATATCAGCAATTATTTCTTTGCTGATAAGACTTCCAGTCCACGATAAGTTTGCCTCGCTTCTGATATTCATGACATCTCCCTGCTGAGTATCAAGTTTCATGCCGTTGGGCAAGGAGATGTCTGTCGATATAGACATGTCTTTTGGCCAGAGAAGGGTGCTAAGATCGGTGCAAACGCTACATATACCAACAGTAGCATGCGTAATCTCATCTTTCGAATCCAACCATTCCGAGGACCATTTGGGAAACGTGCAATTGCCACTGGAGCAAGTGGCGACAATACTGGTATCATTGTTGCCAGGAGTTGTAAGTGCCGCATACGTCCGCCCAAGAACGTGAGGGCGAAGATTGAAATCGCCTACTAAGCTTTCAGGCAACATTTCTGGGAAGAAACTGGAGTTTCTGCCGTCGTATACTGAATACGAAACGGGTAATGAGGCGGTATTTCCAGGGATATCAATCCGTCGCGGTATAAGGTCAATAGATTGTTGAAGGAACGGACCAGTCGCAAACGAGGATATCATGACAAGTAGCGCTAGCAAGGAAGGTATACTGTGTCCAGCGACGATGGGCAGTAGGCAAAGAGCGCCCCATAACCCGCGACTCGCGTGATCGAAGCTATTGATATGTCGAAGTGGGCGAGCGGGAGCATCCTTCGACCAGTACCACACCCATTTGAATTGGGAAATTATCTCTGCTGCGACAGCCACAAGAGTCGCTCTGTAGATGGTTGAAATTGTCGCAATGAGAGAGTTGAGATTGATAGGAAAGTGCCAGTCATCCACCGGTTTCCCGTCTTGTTGAGCGAGAATGTAGATAACGACAGCCATGAGAGCGCAGGCCAGGGAGAGTGTGCTGATCTCTAAGGCCCAGAGCTTGATGACAGGTTGACAAGCACTTTGGAGTGCCAGCATTTTGATCGTGAGATGCGAATCCTTTATCGTCATCCGTCCTAGGCGGACTGGAGTCGGTTCTATCCGCCATGAAACTCGAACGAGGGCTTGTTTGCTGGGCCTCAGTCATTGTTCACTGGTCCTTTCTGTTGCTCAAGAAGGCTCGCACCAAAAGATTAGAGCGGGTGCGATTACATATAAGTGTTCTTAAAAGCCTGTGACCGACCGAACCAGTGTCGTCAAAGGCTTTTGAAATCAGCCTCTTCAAAACTGAACAGATGGGTGATTGGCTGCGATTGGACCGTAAGCATTCTTCACTAAGGCGTACGAGGGTGTATAAGACACGCGAAGAAACCTGCGATTGGCCACAAGAACGATGTTCCTCATTGGAATTGTACAAATGTCAGCTGGAGGCCTCTTCACAGTCGCTATTGGTGGTGGCATATCAGGCATCAGTCAATGTAATTTCAGCTGGGCAACTTGAAGGATTTACGACATCATATGACGCAAAAAGGGACTGGTCAGATACGGACAATTTGTTCCAAGAAATTGAGTACGAAGAAATTATACCCACAACGCAGAGATATTTGCTGCAATGAGAGCATTCATGTCGTGAATAATAGGCTTTACAGGTGGCTGCCATCCTAGATTGAGAGGAAGTCTCTCATTCTCGACCCAGTAGCGCACAAGCGTCTTGTTCGCATTACCGTAATCCCCAAAAGCCGACAGCAGTAGCGCGTACTGAAGCAGCGAACCGCTTCTCGCAAAGGTGCCGTTGAATTCGGGGTTGAACTTCTCTCCCCACTCGAATCGAGCCTTGATTTCCCGGGCAGCAGCGGCGAACTGTTATTATTCGTTAGCTAAAACTTCCATGAAAGCTTTACAAACGGCTGTTACGCACATCGATAATGTCAACGTCACCCCATCCAGCCAACGTGCGACCCCAAGCAGCAGGGCTGAAGTGAAGGGAGTCTCCAAAGTAGGCGTCGTCGCGCGTCAGGCTACCGTCGTGCTCGATGACTTGAGGCACGTGTTGGTTGACGTCGCTGAGGTGAAAGGTTGACGCATTTCCCGTAGTCGAAGTCTTTAACGCAGGAATACCAACAAGAAGCATCGTCTCGTGGTCCATATTAAATCCGAGTGTCGTGGCCGCTCCGAGCACATCCAGGTCGATATCGCGACCATCTCGAGGTAAGAGCCCATGGTTGGCTAGGGCGTTGATTCCAGGGCAAGGTGATCGCAAGTCGCCCGGTTGAGGAGGCTGCCAAGGATACAGGTCCTCGGTCAAGGTGGCCAAGACACCGACCGAGGCCATGCAGGCTTGGAGGAACATCAACCGAGACCCCAGCATATTGAAGAAAAATGAGCGACAATGATTAGACTACAAGTAAACTTTCACGCTGGGACTTCTCCCTTCATGTAGTATTTGTACCTAAATCTCTAGCCAAGCCTACCAGGGTCGGAAGTACCGTTGCACATAAGATCATATCGACGATTAGCCGGTGGGAGAGTTTTCTAGCTGATTAACATCGATTAATGTCAATGTTATTGGGTCAAGAAGACGGCGAATACGGGACAGGGGCAAGACTGGCAAATGAAAATGTCGCCATTACTAGACCATTGCAAGTAATGGCTCCGGCTGATGACATGCATCCTAGGTGCCGGGAGCGGCCGCTACTCGGACCGGTGTAGGTGTGATTACACCATTTAACAAGATTTCCGTCTTACGAGTTACGGCTTTGAGATGTTGCGTCAACAGGGTTGCATCTGGATGCCGAAAAGGGGAAACGTTTCCTTCTACCGGCGCATAGGCGGATCGCCTTGCGCGCGGCAGTGATCTCCTGCCTAACTGAGTCAGGGCGGTGGGGTTCTTCACAGGGCGGTCAACCATGTCACCTACGGCAGCCTGCAGGGCTCACTAGGTCAAAATTGCCGAGGCGTATAGGGCTACACTAGTGTAGGTAGGAGGGCTAGTAAATATTTAATTCAATAAGGGTTTCTACTTTTTTAAGGCTTCTAATTAGCTAATAGTAGTGAGGGTAGTTAACCTATATATTAAGGGTAGTTAGCTTATATACTTTATTTTAAATACTTTATTAAAGTATACATCTAATTTCTTCTTTTTTCTCTATACTTATTATAAATTAATAAGTCTCCTCTATTTATATAGCTTTTTATATGATTTTATACTTTTTATTATTAATTAAATTATATTTTAATTTAAATAGTAATATATATTATCTTAATAAGTTTTTAGTATAACCTCCACCCCCTTTTACACTTCTACTTAAATCTATATAAGTTTTTATATAATAATACTTTTATATCCTCTGTATATATCTATATAATATAGCTCTTTTTAATAGCTTCTTCTTTAATAAGAATAATTAGCTTATTACTAACTTTAATAAGTTTATTAATATCTATATAGAGGATAGTAATTTTAAGTTTAATAAGAATTTTATATATAAACTTATCTTAGCTAAAATTAGAAATATATAGTTTTAACTTTCTCTTATAAAATACTTTAAAAAGAATAAACTTTTTATAATTTTATTAATATTATACTATTTTATATATAAATATATAGTTCTACTTTTCTTCTATATTCCTATTAGCTCTTTTATAAATATAATTAAAAATATAAATAACTAGTTATCTTATTAAATATATTCTTAATATTAAAGATCTTAAAATAATATATTTTTATATAGTTTTATATATATTTTACTAATTTATACATAAATATTAAACTTTATTATTTCTTATTTTAAGTATAGTAAAACTAATTAATATATATATAAGATTCTTAATATAAAATAATCTCAAAATTATAACTTAATCTTAATCTAAATATGTAGAACTAAGTATTTTGATGTAGAAGTATATATTAATTATAAAAAAGAGAATAGCTTTTTCTTAAAATATATTATTTTATCTTTATATATAAACCTATATAATAACTATATATATAATAATAATACTTCTAAATATTCATTTAGTTTATATTAAGCTATATATCTTTTATTCTTAAATATTATTTTATTAACTTCTATATAGCTACTAAAGAGAAGGTTACAATTTTAATTAAATTTACTCAAACTTCTATTATTATACTTAAGCTTAACTAAAGATATATAGCTTCTATTACTTTTAAGCTGACTTATATAAAAGTAATTAAAGTTATATATATTAAGTATATATTTATTTTAATATTATATAATATTTTACTTAATACTATATAGTTTATTAATTATATCCTTATATTTATTATAAAGAAGTATAATAAAATTAGCTTTAATAAGTTTTATTTTATTCTAATATTATCTATATAATTATTAATAATATTATTAAATACTAATAAGATCTTAAAGCTATCTACTACTTCTAACTAAGAGTAAGCTTATCTACTTACGTCTAATTAGTTTTATATATATTTCTATCTCTCTATAGAATAGTATTAACACAGGTATAAGCGTATTCAGGGGCGTGGTATATACGCCTATATAGTATAGGGTTATAGATGGGCTTATGTTATGATGAAATGTGATAATCCTAAGCATTTATAGGCATTTCATCGTATAGAGAATAATAAAGGAAGTCATGTATTTTGATGACTCTTGTTGTTGTTTCCAGGTTACATCCTCTAGTAGGGAAAAGTGAGGGGAAAGATAATCTGAAACGTAACCTACTAAACTGCTAATTACATAAGGTGCTTACGTAACTATACGTATTACATAATCAATATTATAGTTATAAGTTGTAATAAATAGAGTATCTT